TTCAGATTGCAGTCAACCCTTATAATAAGGTATTAACTTCAGATTGCAGTCAACCCTTATAATACGGTATTAACTTCAGATTGCAGTCAACCCTTATAATAAGGTATTAACTTCAGATTGCAGTCAACCCTTATAATACGGTATTAACTTCAGATTGCAGTCAACCCTTATAATAAGGTATTAACTTCAGATTGCAGTCAACCCTTATAATAAGGTATTAACTTCAGATTGCAGTCAACCCGTATAATAAGGTATTAACTTCAGATTGCAGTCAACCCTTATAATAAGGTATTAACTTCAGATTGCTGTCAACCCTTATAATAAGGTATTAACTTCAGATTGCAGTCAACCCTTATAATAAGGTATTAACTTCAGATTGCAGTCAACCCTTATAATAAGGTATTAACTTCAGATTGCAGTCAACCCTTATAATAAGGTATTAACTTTAGATTGCAGTCAACCCTTATAATAAGGTATTAACTTCAGATTGCAGTCAACCCTTATAATAAGGTATTAACTTTAGATTGCTTTCAACCCTTATAATAAGGTATTAACTTCAGATTGCAGTCAACCCTTATAATAAGGTATTAACTTCAACCCAGATTGCAGTCAACCCTTATAATAAGGTATTAACTTCAGATTGCAGTCAACCCTTATAATAAGGTATTAACTTCAGATTGCAGTCAACCCTTATAATAAGGTATTAACTTCAGATTGCAGTCAACCCTTATAATAAGGTATTAACTTCAGATTGCAGTCAACCCTTATAATACGGTATTAACTTCAGATTGCAGTCAACCCTTATAATAAGGTATTAACTTCAGATTGCAGTCAACCCTTATAATAAGGTATTAACTTCAGATTGCAGTCAACCCTTATAATAAGGTATTAACTTCAGATTGCAGTCAACCCTTATAATAAGGTATTAACTTCAGATTGCAGTCAACCCTTATAATAAGGTATTAACTTCAGATTGCAGTCAACCCTTATAATAAGGTATTAACTTCAGATTGCAGTCAACCCTTATAATAAGGTATTAACTTCAGATTGCAGTCAACCCTTATAATACGGTATTAACTTCAGATTGCAGTCAACCCTTATAATACGGTATTAACTTCAGATTGCAGTCAACCCTTATAATAAGGTATTAACTTCAGATTGCAGTCAACCCTTATAATAAGGTATTAACTTCAGATTGCAGTCAACCCTTATAATAAGGTATTAACTTCAGATTGTAGTCAACCCTTATAAGGTATTAACTTCAGATTGTAGTCAACCCTTATAAGGTATTAACTTCAGATTGTAGTCAACCCTTATAAGGTATTAACTTCAGATTGTAGTCAACCCTTATAAGGTATTAACTTCAGATTGCAGTCAACCCTTATAAGGTATTAACTTCAGATTGTATTTTAGCTTCATGTTTGAAGTGGTCATTTACAGTTACTTCCCCTGGAGATAGGGGCGCTGTCGTCTCCGTATTCAATATATCCAAACGTTCGATATCCCGAGGTATTTGAATACTACAGAACGTCAACGCAAGAAAGAAACCCGTCTCGATTATCCGAAATATTCCATTGAGCGTAAAGGGAAAAATACCATTGAAAATTACACGAATGCATCTCTGAAAGTCTGTAACGAAGTCGGGTGTTCGTGAAACCAAAAAACACTCTTCATCCGAAGATGTCATTTAAACCAATAACATTTTACTCCTATTCATCTACGTCCGATTATCCAACGTTCAAACTCTCGATGGAATGAAGAGAAAACAATCCTGGATAAAGGAGGATGATACCTGATTTATCAATTTCCAGGCTTCAGTTCTTTATATCCAGTTATATCAATTACCCTTTGATCAATTACATTATGATTCTGTGGAGACGTTTCAGCCAGCTGAGATTGAAAATACGATGCCATCCAATGATCGAGGGAAAACAAAGTGCTTTGAGCATGCATGTAGATGAGATGTACTATAGCGCTATATGATATGATATTATATGATAGCTATCAGTATACTTCAAGCAGAAACATAATATGAACAGGCTGAATCGGTGCTGGAGCCTACGATTATGGTTCTGACACGACTAAGGGAGGCAACTCGCACATAAAACTACGGCGCCTGTAGCACCTTGATCTTAAACAATAGTATATAGGGCAGCTGTTATGACTTCTTTCAGTGTTATGGTTTATACATGTTTGGGTGTGTAGCTGACTATTCGTATTATCCGACTTTATTCTGAAGGTGTCCTTATATTTAACAGTAAAACAACCAACTCAACTATAAGTGGCAGGACATTAACAGGCCTATAACTGCCTTGTTATGGACCATACCATCAGTGTGGTTGTGTCATGTGATCCTAGAGAATAAATCAAAAAGAAGACCTACTCGAGTCTAGAATAATTTGGCGAATCTTGGTTACCTCGGTTCTAGGCTTGCTCTCGGCTCCATTTGGATTTGTATTAAAGATAAATGTATAGATTTTTGTAAATAAGACAATTATATTTCTGGGACTAAATGTCAGTGTACCATTGCATCACTGTCCCGCCCATTTAACAATTCATTAATGTGCCTGCTAGATAGAACGTGTCTAAATGCGTATGATGCCACTTACGGTTTTTGTTAAATTTGCAGAGCGGCGAGAGAATGCGACATCAGTATCTAGATATACCCTTGTGCTCGTACTATTCATGTCTTTACCCCGGCGATGCTTGTTAAAACATATGGGCGTGGTCGTTCCACGGTTACAGCCTTGGAAGCCGGCTAGGACATGGCTCTGTCTATGGAGGGTAGCCGAAAACAAATGTCATCCCGGGAATAAAGTCAAGTCGATGAATATTTGGGCAGGGCGGGAACCAACAGCGCTGTTTTCTAGACCGTCGGAGATGCCAAATTAACCCATGTTATTTCCTAATGTTCTCAGCTTCTGAGACTATTTTCTTCCTGTGCCGCACATACAGTTGCATCAACCCAAGATGCTGTATGTCTCACCCCGAGCAGTTTCCCTATCATGCTGGTTGTAGTGTATTCACTTCGAGGTGGCAGCCAGGGGGTTGGTCTAAGGAGGGCGGTGTTAGAGATTGGAAATCAGGAGGAATTTTCTCAACTTGATCCGTAACTGACTCGAGATGAGAAATCTACACGTGTTGTCTCTTTTCATAACACTAGGTGCTTTATTAATCATTTTGGAGATGGTGTTGAGGGGATGTTACCTGTTCTCATGTGTCGGGCCCAATTGGTAACGCCGCAGCTAAATATAAGGTTAATTGTCGGTATTTTCCCGCGAGATGTCAAATCATCGACAACAGGGGTTTTCATGTTCTTGCATCTCTTTTTTGTCAAAGATATGAGTCACATATCCAATGACTCGTGTATATAAGTCTACGTGGTCTCGTAGACAGAGGGGCGGTGGGGTAGTCTGGTGGTTAAAGCGTCCGCTCGTCACGCAGAGGATCCTGGTTCGATTCCCCACATGGGTACAATATATATGTGAAGCCCATTTCTGGTGTCCCCCGCCGTGACATTGCTGGAATATTGCTAAAAGCTTTGTAAAACTAAACTCACTCACTCACTCGTAGAGAGTGTCTGTTCGGATAGGGCGCTTTCGCGTTCGGTTTTAAATCAGATTTAGAGCTGTTATAATTTCGTTATATACCTCTGATTTTCCAACACAGTATGTTTATCTCCATTCTACCATAACCGCGTACGTGCGATTTTTAAATAATACATACTGTGTTTGAAAATTAGATGTATATAACGTGATTATTTACCTCTGAATGACTTAAATTGACCAATCAGAATCCAGTATTTACTGAAGTCATGGTAGAATTTTTCACATACGTATTGTCATTATTCCGAGCAAAAACAAAACCATTATTGAAGAAGTTTTTAATTAGGAGATAATCCTATTGTGTTTACATTTTGGAAGTGATTATAATTGGTTGAACGCTGCTAAATGTCATTTAAAACCGAACGCGTTCTACCATGACATATGCACCATGAATAAAAGGCGTTTGAAATATGCACTCATTATCCTTGCGTAGTGTTTTGACACTACGCGCAGTGAACCGGCTCTCAGAAGTGGTTATTGAAAATTTTTCACTTCTAATTTTTTAGTAACAGCCAATCAAAAACGATCATACTTAAATGTCATGGTAGAACAGATAATGACGTCACATGGTATCATTGTTCACACGACGTAAAATCGTAAAATCAGTCAAGTCTATATCGAAAGACTTTTTTTGCTAAATCTATACGTCGTCCCCTACCTAATCAGTCATATACACCTATACGGCTACACATGAAACAAGCAAGAAACGGTCATTCAGTGGTGATGTGCTTGCTATGGTATCAAATAGTATGGATTTGGACCTTTGCATTTTTTCGGCGACTTTTTTTCAAACTTGCTAAGTTGGTGAAGTTTCTTTTGATTCTTTTCCCCAGTATCACGGTTGTACACAAGAACACCGTATCTGTTTCCGTACATATAGCAGACCTTCACTCCACCTGTGGGGAATCGTGTTCTCGAAGTGTCAAACAAGTAACATGCAACATAAGGAGGGGGTTCGGTAGTGGCAGGCGACCCTAGACTGAGACAAATATTTTTTTCTTCGGAGATTTTGGGTATATTTATTTCAACGTTTTTCAATTATTTGTTGAATGCTAAGATTTCATTCGCTGAGTGAGTGAGTGGGCTTCAGTGATGCTGACGTTGTATCAGTGTTACTGTGTAGCCAGCAATGTTATCGAGAGGGAGTACACACGTATACGATGCTATGTTACTACTACTGTTAGTAGCAGCATGCAAATGGTGAAAATGGAACTGGACCAACTCATGAACCCTGGGTGAATAGGTTAAGTCTAAAGGCATCGATTTGTTAGGTTGTACCATTTAATCCTCATCATAGTAATCCAAATTTATGGCGACACCTCCTGAAATAACAATAAAAATATGCACCAAAGACCCATTTCGATACAGCTAAAACATTTTGGAGTTAACTTCAGGTTCATTTGGTCATTGTTTATTGAGTCAGCAACAGTTGTGGGAGATGTGACAAAACAGGTAGTAGCAACAGCAACGGTAACAGCAATGGTAGCAGCAACAGCAGAAGACTACCAACTTATTGTGTTAACAGGATCTGAGAGCTTTTATTGTTAAATGAATCATAAAGATTGTTTCTCAGATATCGGTGGTTTAAAGCCATTATCTGCAATCACTTGAGTGATGAATTTAGCCGAATCTTTTGGTATGCGTGGTCTCGCAGGGTCCGAGAAGTTGACGTAATGAAGGCCGAACTTCTCCGAGTATCCCCGAGTCCACTCGAAGTTGTCCATCAAAGACCATGACGTGTAGCCCTTCAGATTACACTCATCGAGACGGACAGCTGGAAACAGAGGCAATAGACAACTTCAGTAGGGTCGGTTTCAGAGTGAGAGAGCTTTTAGCAACATTCAAGCAATATCACAGCGGGGGACTCCAGAATGATTTTCAGAGCGGGAGGTTGTTGATTGGATCTCCGGCCACGTCAAACCATGGGGACACACTGGCTGGTTTGGGATTCCACGTTAAACGTTAAACAGCATTTGTACGTAATACAGGGTTACTGGAATAGATGAGGTGCGTCTCTCTCTCTCTCTCTCTCTCTCTCTCTCTCTCTCTCTCTCTCTCTCTCTCTCTCTCTCTCTCTCTCTCTCTCTCTCTCTCTCTCTCTCTCTCTCTCTCTCTCTCTCTCTCTCTCTCTCTCTCTCTCTCTCTCTCTCGGGTGGTCGGGTGGTCAGACTCGATGACTTGGTTGACACATGTCATGAAAATTGTGTAGATCGATGCTCATACTATTGATCAATGGAGTGCCTGATCCACACTTGATTAAATACAGGCCGCCGCCATATAGCTGGAATATTACTGAATGCGGCGTTAAACAGCAAACAAACGTTTCGCGCTCTGGGAATATGGTCCATTCACTAGATCATGGAGTCGTGTATGGATATTTGTTTATCAGGCCCGTATATTTCACAGACGTTTCAAACACTTAAACCCTATCCGGTTTAAGGGAGTTGAAGGTTCCGGATAAACTGGACTTCACTGCATTAACATGAATAAGCTTTGTTGATGTAATCACCCTTCAACATCTCATCCAGATAGTCTCTGTAGTAGTTGACTCTGTAGAAGTCGTGCAAGCTGCCGTTGTTGTCGGACACGCCGTTCTCGGTAACATAGATGGGCATGTTGTCGTACGTCACCTTAAGCCAATTCAACACGGCACGTGCTCCTTTTGGTGTGTACCGCAACCACGAGGACCCGGATCTAGGAAACAGGAACTGACGTCACCACCAGAACCGAACGAAAATCAGAGTCTCGCCTTTTCGAAAAATCATTGAATGTGTGTGATAGGTGCAAGTATATTTTGTCGTAAATAGTAAAACCTAGACCTTGCTACATGAGGCCTATTGATATTTCAGGTTATAGATTATGAGGTACATATAATAATGTATTTTGTACAGTGTGAATCCAAATAAATCATGAATGTGAATGATTAGGAAGATGTCTAAAAACGTGTTGTTAACTCAGGAGATACCAGTATGTATAATACCTGAACACTTTATGGATTGTGTATATTCCACATAATCAGATATTACATATATTCCCTGACTGGACCCTGTAACACACATACGCCTAATTGTCCTGGTTGGATACAGGATGGAAGGGACGCCATACAAAAACAGCGAGATTCACGTGATAAACACGACCTGGAAAACTGTACAGATTGCTGTCATAGCATTTTAGACGTCATGACTTACAAAGTGTAATGATCACTGAGCCGAGCGCGTTACAGAATGTATGGGAACTCTGACTGAGTCGCATATGTCATTGATCGGTGGCGAGTTAAGAGTTTACGGAAACGTACGACTGATCGGAAGTAATGGCTCGCCCGTTTCCGTGACATACACACAGATCATCTATCGGCTTATCTCGAAATGACACGAGTTGGTGACCAATGATGACGAACGGTGACGAATGATATTCCGGTGTCTACGATTTTGTGTAGGTACATGTATTTTGGGGTAATGGTAGTACTTGGGCCATTTAGGGTCCTTTTCGGAGAACACATCCTGGTCTGCGTGGTAGCTCGGGGGGTTGTATGGCATGACCTTGGGGGACGTCAGGCTCGACGTGTAGTAGTTCAGTCCCAAGAAGTCGGCGGTGCCTAGGACGGTGAAGAACGGCTGTGAGTGATTAGTCAGTGTTTCCAAAAACGTATATACGACTTTGGTGAGTCATCATTATCATTATCATTAGACTGTCCCGTCAAGAGGCTGCTGAATGAATTATGTAGTCAGACTCGGTGACCTTATTGAGTGCGAGTTGGTCGTTACTCGGCTCACTGGTCAAAACACGAGTATTAACATTACGCTATTGTAGACTCAGAACGTTGCTGGGTGTATCTAAAACGATGATATCCCTCACCGTTGATCCACCTCTTCTCGTCATCTGTGAAGTGCGGGAGTCTGGACGTGGTGAGGCCTTCCTGTCTACTCTTCATGTCCACCTGGGATCTCATCACATCCGGGTACTCGCCGTTCACAGTGATTGGATGAGCAAACCAGCCATGTTCAAACTGATTGGCCCGTTCCGCTGCTTCCCGATCAGCTGCACTGCTGGGGTCTTTGGGCTGGTTGAACACCATACTCAGAGTTATACCTACCTGACCTGCATACAAGTAATGATAATAATCATGAACCATCATCATCATCATCATCATCATCATCATCATCATCATCATCACATCATCACCATCATCATTATTTCAATTATTGTTGGTTGATGGCATACTATCGTACCCCAATGGCACAGTTCATGTTTCATGATATCGATCACTGGATTGTCTACCGTCAAAGACCTTCAGTATTCCTAACGTTAAACAACAGACAATTGTCTAAGAACTTTCAGTTATGACAGACGATAGGTGATGACGTTCAGTTTTGCTTTATATGGTTGGTTTTGTTTGTTTTACGACGTATTCAGCAATATTCCAGCTATATGATATATGATATATTTTTTATTTTTTTAATATATTTTTTTTTTTATATATTTCTTCTGCTTTATAGAATAGTAATCATGGTTACCTGACCTTTCTGAAATGCCCTGAACTCCTGGTCGTACAGCCTGTAGACGCTGGCGTGGCTCTTGATGATGTTGTGGGCCACGACGTAGGGGTAGGTGCCGGGTTTGTTGAGTCCCGGGGCTTTTGTTCCGTCACCGTAGCCACCGACAGCCACAACCACGGGTTCATTGAATGTAATCCAGAACTTAACCTGTTCAATAAACACCGAAGAGCTCCTCTTATCTGGCATGTATGTCAGTATAGGTCTATACGTCGTCATTACTGATAGGAGTTGAACTTGTCGAACTTGTTGAGTTGAATATTCTGGTCGACTGATTAGACAGATTACAATTTGACACAGTTGCCAGAAAAACAGAATGGTGATTAAACCTTCCGGGTACTTTCTGGGACTGCTCCTCCAGGAATAATCAACATAAGATCGAGCACACATATGATGCACCAAGTCCACATTATCAACCCGATCAATGCATAATTGGACCAATGGATCTGTGCACACTCAAAGTGCTATATTATCTTCCTGGGGAGCATACAACCCGATATCTATTTAGGCTCCAGAAGGTTAACACTCACTTTACCATGTCATCCTACTGGGTACCCAGATTGAAAACAGAGACATATTTCGAACACACTCATTTGCCAGATACCTCTAACAGGTATTTCGGTGTGAGGTAACTCAGTCACTCACTCACTCACTCAAACTCACTCACTCACTCACATTCCCTTAATTCACATATATTATTTTGGTTTTGTTAGAATTATATCTTACTCGATCACCAAAGGTTTTGAAGCACAGCTTGGCGTAGCCGGTGAAGAGATCGACGATGTCTCCGTTCAACCAGCCCCCGATATCCTCAACGGCTTGAGGAAGGTCCCAGTGGTACATCGTTACCATTGGTTGGATTCCATTTGCAAGGAGCTCGTTAATTAGTCTGTTATAGTAGTCCAGTCCTGATTGGTTGATGACAGTACCACTCCCATAAGGCATCACCCGTGGCCATGATATTGAGAACCGGTAGTGGGACACCTATTATGACATAAATGGTTGCCATTTGTGACTGAAACTTTAGTATCGGCGAGATACGCCACGCATTAACTCGTCTTCTCTATTTAATCATGCAGCCACGAATATCCGGGTTAGCATTGGTCTTCAGCAACCAAGGATTGTCGTAAGAGGCATCTAAGTCAAAACATTGGTTAAAAAATTAGTCTCGTTTCCTGTTGACTGGGTTCCGTCCTGTTGCGCAACTTAGTACAATAACCAGTCCAGAATTTTGAGACCAATCCATTTAACTGGATACATAAATATTAATCAGTATTATTTGATACCTTTAGGCACTCGTATATTGCAACACTATGCACCTTGTAATCCTTGCAAACATGTCGTGCAGCGAGCTCTGTCGTACAGCGAGCACTGACAAACAGAAACCTGGAAAATCTCAAAACGCTAGAACAGTTTGGCGATCTGGTACGGACTTGATATCATATCAATCACATTGTTACAGAACTAGACTGAATAAGCGCAAAAAAAAACACATAACAGGTGTAACCAGTGACCCAGATGAATTGTGAATCATTTTACGACCCAAACAAACAGGGGCAGTCTGTGACGTCATAGTTAAGGTCATGCTGCCTACACCTCGCCATAAAATATAGAAATACGATGTTGTTAAACTTTATAATTAAAATTCAGTTGTAAATACCATTTTCTTATGAAACAAGGAATTGGAATTCAGTGTAACCATAGTTGTTTGTGATGTCTATTTTCACCTTCACACGAGAAAATTCAGATCGGCTGAAAAGTAGGTCATTGTCTGAATGGGTTAATGAGATTCATGTTTCGGTTTGATCGGGTGGTCAGGCTCGCTGACTTGGTTGACACATGTCATCGTATCCCAACTGCATATATCGATGCTCATGATGTTGATCCCTGAATTGTTGATCCAGGCTAGATTATTTACAGAGGAATATGTTTACGCCATATAGATGTAACATTGCAGCGATAAACAACAAACAAACAAACAAACAATGCTGAGAGTTTTCCTTAAAATAGCAACCTAATCACGCACCCACTCTCTCAGTCATTGAACTCTAGTTGGTGCAAATAGTGGTGTTGGTAGCCTGGTAGTTGAAGCGTTCGCTCGTTACGCCATAGGGGGGCGGTGGGGTAGCCTAGTGGTTAAGGCGTTCGCTCGTCACGCCATAGGACCGGGTTCGATTCTTCAACATGGTTACAACGTGTGAAGTCTTTCTTGCTGACATGAAAGACTTGAACTCAACCGCACACTCACTCACTCAAACCTAAGGAGAGTGTGAACGTACCCCCAGTGATTTGAGTAGCTGTACATCCTCCTGGTACTTATGGTAGCTGTCGCAGGAGATGTCGCCCGTGGCGCCGCCCACAATCTTCCCAGGTTCCCTCACGTACACATCCCAAATGCTGGGACCTTTCCCTAATCAGGGGATATAATACACTATATCATCCAAAACTGTGTTCCACAGGAGATATTGCTTGTGTGAGATCAAACGATATCTCTGGTATTTGTAAGTTTATCAACTCGTGGTGATATATTTGATATCAAAAGACACTCGGGTGAGATTCTCTATTTAACAGATTCTGTCAGATATCCGTTGGTAACTCTCTTGTTTAAAAAAATAAATAATAACTCAAAACAAGAAAAGGATCACTTCATTTCACATTACTATAATAATTCTGTCAGGACAGAATAACTACAGTATGTTAAAGAATGGATGGTCCTTAACTTCTTTTAATATTGAATGTTTACAAATGGATTCTTTGGACACCTTTTCCTTTAAGTTTCAGTTACAAGCCTTATTTGTAATAGACAGTAGGACGGAGAAACACTGTCATTCAAGCTACAGTCTTTGTGGTCAATGGTCAGTCGGGCCGTACGATTTGAGCTGCGATTGGATCCCCGACGAGTGTCGTATGTAGGTTATTATGTGGCTCATGTCCGACTGTGATTTGTATGCAGGGCATGATCCAGCATACTGCCTGATACTTTTGAATGCATGGTGTTATCTAGTTCATAGCCGAGTCATATTTGTCAGTATGGTATTATCAGGGTTTATATGTATTTTGATCAGTATTTTACGGAAGAAGTTTTCTTGTATTGATGAATATCCAGCTACACATTCAAGCTCCCTGTCCCATTGACTCTGCAATAATTGGCCTGGGAAAAAACTAAATTGTCACTCACTCCCTCAAACACTCATACACTCAGTCGCACAAACTAGCGTACCGTCTTCGTTCCAGGCCCCTTCTATTTGGTAGGCCGCTGTCGCAGTGCTCCACAGGAACCCGTCAGGAAAGGTGCCGTAATAGAAGTCATCCACGTACTTCCTGGAAGCTTCGTATCCTGATAGCAGCAGCAGCAGTAACGACACTAAGCACACACACGTCGACATCGTTAATACATCACTGACACTCTAATCTAATGCTGGCGCTGAGTCGACATCTGCATGTCTCCCATGAACAGCCTCGTTTTTACATTTGGGTCAAAGGTTACATCCGGAATACTTATGCTCTATGTAAATAGACAGTTGAACGTACAATAACAGGAATAAGAAAGTCATTTCGATGCTCGACAGTCCCATGGCCAATGTGGGGTAGCAGCACTGTGATCGGTCTGTGTCGTCAGTTCAGTGTTCTATATAGGGTAGCAGCACTGTGATCGGTCTGTGTCGTCAGTCCCGTGTTGTATGTTATAAGGGTAATGCAATTTTTGAGGGCATTATCATTTGCAGAATGATAATGCCCTCAAAAATAGCATTCCCCTTATAATTGCTAAAATACATGGAATTTGTGTTGAAAATAAAAAGGAAACAATGAAGGAATTTGACTGTAAGTTTACCCAAATCAACTTCTGACCGGGTTGACTGCCCGAATGGAATTACGTCATCGACCAATTCAAGTGACGTCACCACAACAGAAAGTGACGATATTCGACCTTGGCATTTGACTAGACCATAGCCTGCAACATGTCAAACTATGTCAGTGTTCGGTTTTGGTCCATCAACAGCCTTAATAGTGCAATTGTTAAGGTTAGCACCAACAAGAAAGCCAATATTACCGCTATTTAAAGCGGGAATTCGGGTTGCTTGGACTTGTTTGACCCAGAATATCTGCCAGTCGAAAGCCAATTAATGTCGAATGAACCGTAAGCCCACGCACCCACTATGACGTCACTTGACAACATAACTGATAGTGGCCCGTCGTTAAGGTTGAGCGGTCCAATATCATTTGCAGCGGCCCGCAAATTTCTGATAATGTGAGGGCCGTTTCATGATAATTCCATGTACTTTAGCTATAAAGGGTAGCAGCACTGTGATCGGTCTGTGTCGTCAGTCCTGTGTTCTATACAGGGTAGCAGCACTGTGATCGCTCTGTGTCGTCAGTCCCGTGTTCTATATAGGGTAGCAGCACTGTGATCGGTCTGTGTCGTCAATCCCGTGTTCTCTATAGGGTAGCAGCACTGTGATCGGTCTGTGTCGTCCATGTTCTATATAAGGGTAGCCCGTGATTCTATATAGGGGGTAGCAGCACTGTGATCGCTCTGTGTCGTCAGTCGTGTTCGTAGCAGCCGTGTTCTATATAGGGTAGCAGCATGTTCTGTGACTGTGACCGCTCTGTTCTGTGATGGGATATGTTCCCATAGGTAGCTCTGTGTAGCGGGTTCCATGTTTTATATAGGGTAGCAGCACTGTGATCCCTCTGTGTAGCGGGGTTCCATGTTCTATGTAGGGTAGCAGCACTGTGATCGGTCTGTGTAGCGGGGTTCCATGTTCTATGTAGGGTAGCAGCACTGTGATCGGTCTGTGTAGCGGGGTTCCATGTTTTATATAGGGTAGCAGCACTGTGATCAGTCTGTGTAGCGGTGTTCCATGTTCTATGTAGGGTAGCAGCACTGTGATAATAATAATAATAATAATAATGCACATTTATAATGCGCCTTTTCCACACCCTTGGGTATGCTCAAAGCGCTACAAAGATGAAGATGGGTGAAGTTATGAGAAGTATACTGAGAAAAGGTGGGTTTTCAGTTTTGCTTTAAAACTATCAAAACTGTCAGAGTCTTTGATGTCATATGGAAGAACATTCCAGAGGGCCGGTGCTGTGTAGGAGAAGCTGCGGTGTCCGAAAGATTTCAGTTTGTAGGAGGGTATCACAAGAAGATTCTGAGAGTTGGAACGGAGACTGCGGGCAGGTACATATGGGTGAAGCAGGTCAGAGAGGTAGGAAGGGGCCAAGCCATGGAGACATTTGTACGTCAGGGAGAGAATTTTGAAATCGATTCTTGCCTTGACTGGAAGCCAGTGGAGTTCTTTAAGGACAGGAGTGATGTGGACACGTTTAGAAGTTCTACTGATAATGCGGGCAGAGGTGTTTTGAATCCTCTGCAGTTTATCAATCAGATTGGAGTTGATGCCAGAAAGAACACTGTTACAATAGTCGAGCCTGGATGTTACTAGAGCTCGAACAAGGGCTTGAGTTGGTGCAGAAGTCAAGTACTGGCGAATGTTGCTGATCGACCTGAGATGGAAGAAGCATGTTTTGCTCACTTGGTTAACATGGGCATTGAACGTCAAAGAAGAATCAATGTGAACGCCAAGATTCCTCACAACATCTGATGGACGGATATCCGCATCTGCAACTTTGAGGGTGACAGCATCCACCTTGCTTAGTTGTTGTCTTGTGCCCACAAGGAGTGCTTCGGTTTTCGTGTCATTCAGCTTGAGCTTGTTTGTAGTCATCCATGACTTTATGTCTAGTGTACAGTCAGCAATTCGTTGAAGAGACTCATTCAACTCTGATGGGTGAAACGATTCCAGAAGCTGGGTGTCATCAGCATAAACATGGTGAGACATATCATGATCACTGACAATGTATCCAACATGCCCTGTGTACAACACAAACAGAACCGGGCCAAGAACCGATCCTTGGGGCACTCCACAGGAGACAGCCGCAGTTGGAGAGCGCTCTCTGCCCACAAGGACCGATTGATGCCGACCTGTCAGGTAAGAGGAAACCCACTGAAGGACAAGGTCACTCAGTCCATAATGATGCTGCAATCTAGTCAGGAGTTTAGGGTGGTCAACGGTGTCGAAAGCCGCGGATAAGTCCAACATGACCAGAGCTGAAATCTTACCCTCGTCAGTGGCACGTTGAAGTTTGTCAGTTACATGAAGCAGTGCAGTCTCTGTACTGTAGTACTGCCGGTAGGCAGACTGGAATGAATCAAGGAGATCATGACTTAACAGATGTTCTTTGAGACAGGAGTGAACTGCTTTCTCAATGATTTTGGATATGAAAGACAAGTTTGAGACAGGCCGAAAGTTTCTCAGATCTTGAGGATCCAAGCCAGACTTTTTTCAATAGTGGTCTGACCACCGCCCCTTGAAACTGTTTGGGAACAGACCGTTCTGAAGACTTATATTGACAATCTTAGTGATGGGTGAAATCAGTAGGTCCAGATGCTTTATTAGAAGTTTGGTTGGAATGGGGTCAGAGTCACAAGAAGTGGGTTTTGATGAACGAATGAGTTGTTCTATTTCTGGGACTAAATGTTCTGAAATGTGACAGGGGTCACCTGCAAACATTGGTTCACTGTAATCGCCATCACAGGCAAGACCATGACGAATTTTCTCAATTTTTGCGATAAAGAAGGAATTGAACGAGTTTGCCAGTTCCTTCTGTTCCTCTGCTGGAGACTGAGTATCTTGTTCTCGTCCCTTTCCAAGCAGTTTGCCCATGAGCCGATAAAGGGATGCTGGCTTACCCATGCTGTCGGTTATGCTCTTGAGACAATAGTTCCTTTTAGCCGAAATAATCAGTCGTCTGGTATCATTGCAACACTGCCGATATATTTCCCGATGTATTTCTAGCCGAGTACTGCGCCATTTTCTCTCTGCTCTGCGCCGTAGACACTTCGAGTGACGTACAGCCTCGTCATACCATGGGGCATGAGGACGAAGGATAACCGCTCTGTGTTATCCTTCGTGTAGCGGGGTTCCATGTTCTATGTAGGGTACCAGCACTGTGATCGCTCTGTGTAGCGTTGTTCCATGTTCTATGTAGGGTAGCAGCACTGTGATCGGTCTGTGTAGCGGGGTTCCATGTTCTATGTAGGGTAGCAGGACTGTGATCGGTCTGTGTGATCGGTCTGTGTAGCGTTGTTCCATGTTCTATGTAGGGTAGCAGCAGCACTGTGATCGGTCTGTGTAGCAGGTGGTTCCATGTTCTATGTAGGGTAGCAGCACTGTGATCGGTCTGTGTAGATCGGTTCCTGTGTAGCAGCACTGTGATCGGTCTGTGTAGCGGGTTCCATGTTCTATGTAGGTTCCATGTTCTATGTAGGGTAGCAGCACTGTGATCGGTCTGTGTAGCGGGGTTCCATGTTCTATGTAGGGTAGCAGCACTGTGATCGCTCTGTGTAGCGGGGTTCCATGTTCTATGTAGGGTAGCAGCACTGTGATCGGTCTGTGTAGCGGGGTTCCATGTTCTATGTAGGGTAGCAGCACTGTGATCGCTCTGTGTAGCGGGGTTCCATGTTCTATGTAGGGTAGCAGCACTGTGATCGGTCTGTGTAGCGTTGTTCCATGTTCTATGTAGGTAGCAGCACTGTGATCGCTCTGTGTAGCGGGGTTCCATGTTCTATGTAGGGTAGCAGCACTGTGATCGCTCTGTGTAGCGGGGTTCCATGTTCTATATAGGGTAGCAGCACTGTGATCGGTCTGTGTCAGCAGCACCTGGATCGCTCTGTGTCCGTGTTCCATGTTCTATGTAGGGTAGCAGCACTGTGATCGCTCTGTGTAGCGGGGTTCCATGTTCTATGTAGGGTAGCAGCACTGTGATCGGTCTGTGTAGCGTTGTTCCATGTTCTATGTAGGGTAGCAGCACTGTGATCGCTCTGTGTAGCGGTGTTCCATGTTCTATGTAGGGTAGCAGCACTGTGATCGGTCTGTGTAGCGGGGTTCCATGTTCTATGTAGGGTAGCAGCACTGTGATCGGTCTGTGTAGCGGGTTCCATGTTCTATGTAGGGTAGCAGCACTGTGATCGGTCTGTGTCGCAGGGGTTCCATGTTCTATGTAGTAGGGTAGCAGCACTGTGATCGCTCTGTGTAGCGGTGTTCCATGTTCTATGTAGGGTAGCAGCACCGTGATCGGTCTGTGTAGCAGGGTTCCATGTTCTATATAGGGTAGCAGCACTGTGATCGCTCTGTGTAGCGGGGTTCCATGTTCTATATAGGGTAGCAGCACTGTGATCGGTCTGTGTAGCGGGGTTCCATGTTCTATGTAGGGTAGCAGCACTGTGATCGCTCTGTGTAGCGGTGTTCCATGTTCTATGTAGGGTAGCAGCACTGTGATCGGTCTGTGTAGCGGGGTTCCATGTTCTATGTAGGGTAGCAGCACTGTGATCGGTCTGTGTAGCGGGGTTCCATGTTCTATGTAGGGTAGCAGCACTGTGATCGGTCTGTGTAGCGGGTTCCATGTTCTATGTAGGGTAGCAGCACTGTGATCGCTCTGTGTAGCGGTGTTCCATGTTCTATGTAGGGTAGCAGCACTGTGATCGCTCTGTGTAGCGTGTGTTCCATGTTCTATATAGGGTAGCAGCACTGTGATCGCTCTGTGTAGTCAGTTCCATGTGTTCTATGTAGGGTAGCAGCACTGTGATCGGTCTGTGTAGCGGTGTTCCATGTTCTATGTAGGGTAGCAGCACTGTGATCGGTCTGTGTAGCGGGGTTCCATGTTCTATGTAGGGTAGCAGCACTGTGATCGGTCTGTGTAGTCAGTTCCATGTTCTATGTAGGGTAGCAGCACTGTGATCGGTCTGTGTCGTCAGTTCCATGTTCTATATAGGGTAGCAGCACTGTGATCGGTCTGTGTAGTCAGTTCCATGTTCTATATAGGGTAGCAGCACTGTGATCGGTCTGTGTGTAGCGTCAGTTCCATGTTCTATATGTAGGTAGCAGCACTGTGATCGCTCTGTGATCGTCTGTTAGCGGGTTCCATGTTCTATATAGGGTAGCAGCACTGTGATCGGTCTGTGTAGCGTCAGTTCCATGTTCTATGTAGGGTAGCAGCACTGTGATCGCTCTGTGTAGAGGGGTTCCATGTTCTATATAGGGTAGCAGCACTGTGATCGGTCTGTGTAGCGGGGTTCCATGTTCTATGTAGGGTAGCAGCACTGTGATCGGTCTGTGTAGCGGGGTTCCATGTTCTATGTAGGGTAGCAGCACTGTGATCGGTCTGTGTCGTCTGTGTAGCGGTGTTCCATGTTCTATGTAGGGTAGCAGCACTGTGATCGGTCTGTGTCGCAGGTTCCATGTTCTATATAGGGTAGCAGCACTGTGATCGGTCTGTGTCGTCAGTTCCATGTTCTATATATAGGGTAGCAGCACTGTGATCGGTCTGTGTAGCGGGGTTCCATGTTCTATATAGGGTAGCAGCACTGTGATCGCTCTGTGTCGTCAGTTCCGTGTTCTATATAGGGTAGCAGCACTGTGATCGCTCTGTGTAGCGGGGTTCCATGTTCTATATAGGGTAGCAGCACTGTGATCGGTCTGTGTAGCAGGGTCCATGTTCTATGTAGGGTAGCAGCACTGTGATCGCTCTGTGTAGCGGGGTTCCATGTTCTATATAGGGTAGCAGCACTGTGATCGCTCTGTGTAGCGTGTTCCATGTTCTATGTAGGGTAGCAGCACTGTGATCGGTCTGTGTAGCGGTGTTCCATGTTCTATATAGGGTAGCAGCACTGTGATCGGCTCTGTGTAGTCAGTTCCATGTTCTATATAGGGTAGCAGCACTGTGATCGCTCTGTGTAGCGGTGTTCCGTGTTCTATATAGGGTAGCAGCACTGTGATCGGTCTGTGTCGTCAGTTCCGTGTTCTATATAGGGTAGCAGCACTGTGATCGGTCTGTGTCGTCAGCGGGGTTCCGTGTTCTATATAGGGTAGCAGCACTGTGATCGGTCTGTGTCGTCAGTTCCGTGTTCTATATTGGGTAGCAGCACTGTGATCGGTCTGTGTCGTCAGTTCCATGTGTTCTATATAGGGTAGCAGCACTGTGATCGCTCTGTGTCGTCATGTGTAGGGTCCGTGTTCTATATAGTCCATGGTAGCAGCACTGTGATCGCTCTGTGTCGTCAGTCCGTGTTCTATATAGGGTAGCAGCACTGTGATCGGTCTGTGTCGTCGGTCCCGTGTTCTATATAGGGTAGCAGCACTGTGATCGCTCTGTGTAGCGGTGTTCCGTGTTCTATATAGCGTAGCAGCACTGTGATCGGTCTGTGTCGTCAGTCCGTGTTCTATATAGCGTAGCAGCACTGTGATCGGTCTGTGTCGTCAGTCCTGTGTTCTATATAGGGTAGCAGCACTGTGATCGCTCTGTGTAGTCAGTTCCATGTTCTATATAGGGTAGCAGCACTGTGATCGGTCTGTGTCGTCAGTCCTGTGTTCTATATAGGGTAGCAGCACTGTGATCGGTCTGTGTCGTCAGTTCCGTGTTCTTCTATATAGGGTAGCAGCACTGTGATCGGTCTGTGTCGTCAGTTCCGTGTTCTATATAGGGTAGCAGCACTGTGATCGGTCTGTGTAGTCAGTTCCGTGTTCTATATAGGGTAGCAGCACTGTGATCGGTCTGTGTCGTCAGTCCGTGTTCTATATGTGGTAGCAGCACTGTGATCGGTCTGTGTAGTCGTCAGTCCCGTGTTCTATATAGGGTAGCAGCACTGTGATCGGTCTGTGTCGTCAGTCCGTGTTCTATATAGCGTAGCAGCACTGTGATCGGTCTGTGTCGTCAGTCCCGTGTTTATATGTTCTGTAGCAGCACTGTGATCGGTCTGTGTCGTCAGTTCCATGTTCTATATCGGGGTAGCAGCACTGTGATCGGTCTGTGTCGTCAGTTCCGTGTTCTATATAGGGTAGCAGCACTGTGATCGGTCTGTGTAGTCAGTTCCGTGTTCTATATAGGGTAGCAGCACTGTGATCGGTCTGTGTCGTCAGTCCCGTGTTCTATATAGGGTAGCAGCACTGTGATCGGTCTGTGTAGTCAGTTCCGTGTTCTATATAGGGTAGCAGCACTGTGATCGGTCTGTGTAGTCAGTTCCGTGTTCTCTATAGGGTAGCAGCACTGTGATCGGTCTGTGTCGTCAGTTCCGTGTTCTATATAGGGTAGCAGCACTGTGATCGCTCTGTGTCGTCAGTTCCGTGTTCTATATAGGGTAGCAGCACTGTGATCGGTCTGTGTAGTCAGTTCCGTGTTCTATATATAGGGTAGCAGCACTGTGATCGGTCTGTGTCGTCAGTTCCGTGTTCTATATAGGGTAGCAGCACTGTGATCGGTCTGTGTCGTCAGTCCCGTGTTCTATATAGGGTAGCAGCACTGTGATCGCTCTGTGTCGTCAGTCCGTGTTCTATATAGGGTAGCAGCACTGTGATCGCTCTGTGTCGTCAGTCCCGTGTTCTATATAGGGTAGCAGCACTGTGATCGGTCTGTGTCGTCAGTCCATGTTCTATATAGGGTAGCAGCACTGTGATCGCTCTGTGTCAGTGTGGGTTCCGTGTTCTATATAGGGTAGCAGCACTGTGATCGGTCTGTGTCGTCAGTTCCATGTTCTATATGGGTAGCAGCACTGTGATCGGTCTGTGTCGTCAGTTCCATGTTCTATATAGGGTAGCAGCACTGTGATCGGTCTGTGTCGTCAGTTCCATGTTCTATATAGGGTAGCAGCACTGTGATCGCTCTGTGTCGTTCCATGTTCTATATAGGGTAGCAGCACTGTGATCGCTCTGTGTAGCTGAGTTCCATGTTCTATGTAGGGTAGCAGCACTGTGATCGCTCTGTGTAGCTGTGTTCCATGTTCTATGTAGGGTAGCAGCACTGTGATCGCTCTGTGTAGCGGGGTTCCATGTTCTATGTAGGGTAGCAGCACTGTGATCGCTCTGTGTAACGGGGTTCCATGTTCTATGTAGGATCGACCTCTTTATCTACAATCGTCCTCGATGACCATTGGTGAGTGAGTGAGTATGGTTCTGTATTTGACAATAGTCCAGCAAGGTCACATTGTGATGCCGAACACCGTGCTGAGCACAGTGGACCAAACTGAGTCTTGGACGTGACAAGTGAGTGAGTGAGTGAGTTCAGTTTTACGCCGCTTTTAACAATATTCCAGCTATATCACGGCAGGGGACACCAGAAATGGGCTTCACACATTGTACCCATGTGGGGAATCGAACCCGGGTCTTCGGCGTGACGAACGAAACATGACAAGTGAACGATGTACCCGCCAGGCCCCCAGTTTCCTGAATGTGAGGGCTGCCTACAGTTGAACGTTTGACGTTGTAACCAGTAAGTTGAGGTAAAATGAGGGAGGTTGATGTAACGTCCTTTTCATCTGCATTACGGTAATCTAACGGTGTGTCTGTTTAAAGTGGGAGGAAGTCCCGAAGTGAACCTAAGGAAGATTTACCGCGCTGAGTAACTACCTGACATCATGTGACTCGAGCCACTATCGCGACACACATAACGTGCAGATGTGAGGTGAGGTGAGGTGAGGTGAGGTGAGATGAGGTGAGATTGGGTTTTACGTCGTGCTTGAGAATATTTCGCTCATATGACGACGTGCATGCGTGTGTATGTGTATGTGCGGCTGCTTGTACTAGCCCAGACTGAAGCTGGTTTATAGTGCTAGCTCACTGAGATACCATGCAGCAGTGAAGCATGAATACCCCACTCAGACACATTATACTGACTCCGAGCCGACCAGTCCTTGTTGTACCCATTAGTGCCGAGCGCCAGGCAGGGACCAACAAGTACCATATTTTAACGTCTTTTGGTATGACGCGGTCGGGGATCGAACCCACGACCTTCCGCTCTCCGGGCTGACGCTCTAACCACTACACCACGGAGGCGGTTAACATGCAGATGTAAGAAAACAACAAACTAAATACTAATGTTTCATATTTTATTTCAAATTCAGTCGAGCATACTATGTACACAATCAATAAATAAGCCAGTTTGCCAGTCACCTCTGATGACGATAAGGCACACAATGACGGCTCCTCGCATTCTAAGACAACAAGGTAAAATGGAGGCACGTTTTTTTTCATAGGAACGTTTCTGTCAAATGGTGTAAGATATTGAATGTGGGAAGTGCTTCCTGATCACCTAAACATATACTACTCAAGAAAACGTAAGAACATTTTTAATCTTTCAGATTACTATAATTCACCTTTTATGGCATGAGATAAAACATAGTAATAGGAGAAACCGGGTGATCCTTAACCATTCTAGACTAGTATATAATCTGGTGTTACTCCCCACATTCAAGATTCAACAGGGTCCCATTCAGACAGAGGTTCTGAATTCAACAGTGAACACGTGAAGTGTTCTATAAATAGAAATGACGCCAGCACTCACGTTGTGCCTAGAGCACGTGACTTGTATCTATGGAAACGGATCGTTCATGTGCAAAGGGACAAAACTCCTGTCAGCATACATCTTCCATTCACTGTGACTTTCAGGCCATAAAAATCACAGACGATTCGTACAACAAAGTAAAATAAAAATTTGCTTTACATATTCTCGTTTGGGGCCCAACTGATAAATGGTTAAGAGCCCCCACTGAGATTTACATCATCGAGTCCTGGTTTCATGTCTATTATGACGAGCAAAAAGCAAGATGCGGTTAAGAAACTGACATACATAGATTTTCATGGCAAAAGCTACACAGAATGACAAAGTTTTCAACCACACTGTCAAAAGACAAATGGCTCCTGCAAAGCATAATGTGAAATTGAAGTATAACCATAAGTCTCTCGTCTATAAGGCAGATGTGTGCAATTATCTCTAAAACCTATTGTACAATGTTTATCAGTGTGAGAGCAGCAGAATGGCTTGTTGTGACATTTATTATACAATGAGCAAAATGGTAAAATAATTCTAAATAAGTATGAAATATGTTTCTCACAAGAAACGCTTCTTCTGAAATTAATAAAAAGACAATTGATCTTGACCAGTAAAACATCGATTCAATCAACGTGAAGGTTGTCCGGAGTTTTAAGTAAGAGTTATCGTTCCTTGCCGCCACATGAAGACTCCGCCATGGTGACTAGCGTAATTCCTCTCAACTGATTAAGTGAGTGAGTGAGTTTAGTTTTACGCCGCACTCAGCAATATTCCAGCGATATGGCGGCTCAACTGATTAAAAAAGAGGGAAAGCAAGTATCAGTTGAAAATGCATTCGGGCGAGGAACAATGTTTTCATGGCCTGACGTCAGATTGATAAATATGAAGTCTTTCTCCTACATGTACGACTTATCACTCCATGAGCAAAAAAGGTTATCTTTCCCGTCTTTGGTCTTAAATATTGCACATGATACCAATTATGTAAATAAGTCTTAATATTATAGTTATTGAACTCTCCCTGAAGACATTACGTCACATCGATCACCTCTTCCTATCTTAGAGGTGTCATGTTTGCGATTCCAAAAGAAGAATTATGTCAAATTGATTTCCAGTTGACGAGATACATTCCAATAAGTGGTCATTATCCTGACAGTAGCGTCACCATAATATTATTGCGCGAACAAAGGCTAGTACGGAGGTATACAACGATGCACGATTATGATGTTGAGATGAAACTGTGAAAGAAATAAATGCTGCAATGGATACGAAGATGACGAGGTACGAAACATGAGACCGATGGGATCTTTAGATGAGAGGGGCGGTGGGGTAGTCTAGTGGTGAAAGCGTTCGCTCATCACGCCGAATGAACGGGTTCGATTCCCCACAAGGGTACAATGTGTGAAACCCATTGTTGTGTCCCGGCCGTGATATTGCTGGAATATTGCTAAAAGCGGCGTAAAACTATACTCACTCATTCACTCACCTAAGATGATAAAAACCTGCGACATACAATTACTAAATATTCTGAATTTGATGTTTTCTGGAATAGCAGTAACAATATAAACAACAGAAACATCATAATGTTGCTCTACAATTCATGGAAATTCTGTGAAAGATCTGTAACACAATTCGTAACGTTGGAATCTGAAAGTGCCTGACGTAACTCTAGATCTGTTGTGACAGTGTTGTAATACATGGACGAGTACAGCCGTGAGGAATCCATCTATCTTCAGTTGTTATCTTCGGGAATACAATGAGGTACATAACAACATACCAGCAACAAAGTCTTGTTACAGACTGTAACCACGGACCATAGCCTGTAACCACGGTAACCGCAACTTCCGGGGGGTGGAATTTGTTCCACTGGCAAAATAAAAGCCAAACGAAACGTTTCCAGCACTTTTGTGAACACCCGGTGTCTTCACTGATTTTCAATTCATATAATTTTTACTTTGCCTTTCATGAGTTCGGAATCTGTTTCGGGGGGATTCTCTAGCGTTGACGTGTGACGTATACACATATTTAGTTGGTTATATTTCGAGGGCAATCTAGTCTCATTTGATAATCTATGATGTAATAAACTATATATCATTATCTAATGAACACAAACACAGGTGTTATCCACAAACATTGAATCATAACACACAGAACTCATATAGGTCCAGTTGAGTACTTTCCTACAAGTATTTTCGTGGGAATTCATTGTGCCAACTGCTTAACGAGTCAAATCTATACTCCATGATTATCTAACCATGAGTATCTAACCATAACTGAATAATAGACCAATGTGCAAATATTATCAAAGACTTAGAAGAAACATTCAGGTAGCCAGTGATATTATTGATGCCCGTATGACTAATAAATACGTATACAACATAGTGTTGAAATTGCGGTTACGTTGACCGAACACCTGGTGTCTGCACCGATTTTCAATCATCCATTCATATTGTAGCCTCTGGTTTATGCCCAATGAAATCTGCTCCGGTGGATTAATTCAGGCTGGTTATTTTCTGAGGTTGCGTTGAATAGTTACGCGCTCTGCGTAATCTGCGCAGAAAGAGGTCTCTCTGTTTCTTGCAGGTCCTTACACCCCTGTCACACGGCTGACAGAAACATTGCAACATTCTGTATGCCTTCGACCTTACAAAGCATACTCGCACCACGGAGTCTCCATAATATGCCGACAATGCACACCACATATTCATTCTACACAAACAATTACACAATTATTTTACATCAGTTCTCCATTCACAAAGTAGTTTCCTTCAGGTCAAGGTCAGCGTGTGAATATTAAAACGGGAAAGACGAATGAGAGCATACGGTGACCAAGGTCAGGGCACAGCCTTGACCACAGTCAGCACCGGTCACGTGACGCACGTTGTCACGTGCAGCCTTCACATGAGTTTGATCCAATCACACTGCAATATCTAGGAAAGCACTGGTTGCATTATGACTAGAAAATCGTACTCTTATATACAGGAAAGTTGAGAAATTCACATATATACAGCCTTTGTTTTCAGTTCATTGTTTATGATACACTCATTCATTGTAGAACGCCCTTTCATCAGATGCACTATCAGTGTCTGTTTGCAACGTGTTCAGCACGTGTTCAGTGTCCACACACATGTTGCCAAGGTCACGCTCGGGTCACTACGTGCACGTGGGTGACGGGAACGTCTACTGTCCGACTAGAAATATTCTTCATATATAGTGGGATCAACATACGTGGGTCGGGGTATCCTGAAGGCCCCGCTGTCGGCTAACTTGTGCAAACTGAAAAGAAGTAGCAGGAAACTTGGTCACACGTAAAAGAAAACACGAAATAAGAGTAAAGAATGGGGCAGCTAAATGGTTCGCACATTATCTGCATTAATTTAAAATATCATATATTAAATGCACCCATCGTATGTGGAAAACGTTGCTGAATTCAGAAACAATTACAAGCCCAACGAGAAAGAAGAGAATAAAGCTTACATAGACAAGTTACCAATGGCAGGGGGAGGTACCTGCAGGGGCAGTTACAACCTTTTGAGAAAGGGAGGTTGCACACTCTTGAGAAAGTGGGGTTGTACACTCCATTTTCACGAGAGTTTCAATGGTCATTTAATAAACTTTCAAGACGTGTGTGTGTGTGTGTGTGTGGGGGTGCGCACCCAGGCAAACACCGTGAGAACTGTACAATCATGTAAATTCACATAACTAAACCAAAAAATACAAACCTTTGCAAAAAGTATTCATTTGCAAAAACTGTTGTTGGAATGTGAGGTGAGGGAGGGAAAATATGGGGAAGTTCTACATCTTCTCTTGTCGATCTGAAAAAAATGAAAACGACATTAATTTTCAGGAGGAATAGAGGAAAGAAACACTTCACGAACTGGAACCAGACTGGCAACTAAACCGAACTTGTACAAACTAACAAACATCTTAACACATTGTGACCATATCAGGAACTGAACGAGGCAAATAGGTGGGACAAGCAAACACAGTTACCACTGAGTTACCCCGAGGTCTTGAGCATTAAGTATGTGAGTATTGTCTTAAGCCGCTTGTACCAACATTCAGTGATATCACAGCGAGGCACACCAGGAGTGGACTAGAAACATTGTTATGATCCCCGAAGCCGAACCCTGTCTGACGGGTAGAGGCTTTGACCACTCTTCTACATGACCTCTAATCAATAAGGTTTTGTTTATTGTTTAAAGCCACACTCAGCAGTATGCAAGCAATATGGCGGCGGTCTGTAAACAATCGAGCCTGGACCTGACAATCCAGTGATCAACACCATGAACATCGATCTACGCAATTGGGATACGATGACATGTGCCAACCAAGTCAGCGAGCCTGACCACCCGATCCCATTAGTCTCCTTTCAGTACATAATAAGGATTATTAACGGCTGACGTTAGATATGGTAATAATCACTATATTGGAAACGTACATCACACCACGTGAACGGGTTTATCAACATCATCATGGTTGCGGTTGCTGATGGCAGTTCCACAGTGGACAAACGTTTACCGCTGACTTATGCAGTAATTGCAGGGTCGATACAAACCGCGGTGAGCATAATGCAAGAGTTACAGATTGTTTTCCTGAAGTTGACCTACTGCTACCCTTAGAACAATTAGTAGTTTCTTGTAGTTTAAGGGTCATGGGACATTCAGAAGACCTAAGGCCGGGGTTTAACATAGCTGATTGGGACGCACATCTTGTTCCGCTGGATAGTTTCGAAACTGCCATACTGAGTTGAATAGCAACAATTATTTCATCAACATGCATAACAATTTCAGTGTCAACATGCACATCCAAAACTGTACACACATCCATATCGACACACACGCCGTCACACACATCCACATTCAAAGCTGCTCCCCCGCCACTCATATCCCACGCCAACATCCACATATCCCAACATCCACATCCACACCCATATCCCAAACACCAACATCCACACCCATATCCCAAACTCCAACATCCACACCCATATCCCAAACACCAACATCCACACCCATATCCCAAACTCCAACATCCACATCCACACCCATATCCCAAACATCCACATCCACACCCATATCCCAAACTCCAACATCCACATCCACACCCATATCCCAAACTCCAACATCAGCACCCATATCCCAAACTCCAACGTCCACATCCACACCCATATCCCAAATCCCAAACACATCCATATCCCACATCCACATCCACACCCATATCCCAAACTCCAACATCCACACCCATATCCCAAACACCAACATCCACACCCATATCCCAAACTCCAACATCCACACCCATATCCCAAACATCCACATCCACACCCATATCCCAAACTCCAACATCCACATCCACACCCATATCCCAAACTCCAACATCAGCACCCATATCCCAAACATCCACATCCACACCCATATCCCAAACTCAAACATCCACATCCACACCCATATCCCAAACTCCAACGTCCACATCCACACCCATATCCCAAACACAAACATCCACATCCACACCCATATCCAAACACCAACATCCACATCCATATCCCAAACACCAACATCCACACCCATATCCCAAAATCTACATCCATATCCCAAACACCAACATCTACATCCATATCCCAAACACCAACATCCACATCCACACCCACATCCCAAACACCAACATCTACACTCATATCCCAAACACCAACATCGACATCCACACCCACATCCCAAACACCAACATCTACATCCACACCCACAACCCAAACACCAACATCCACATCCATATCCCAACATCCACATCCACATCCCAAACACCAACATCCACATCCACATCCCAAACACCAACATCCACATCCATATCCCAAACACCAACATCCACATCCCAAACACCAACATCCACACCCATATTCCAAACACCAACATTCACATCCATATCCCAAACACCAACATCCACATCCACACCCATATCCCAAACACCAACATCCACATCCCAAACTCCAACATCCACATCCACACCCATATTCCAAACACCAACATCCGCATCCATATCCCAAACTCCAACATCCACATCCATATCCCAAACACCAATATCTACATCCATATCCCAAACACCAACATCCACATCCACACCCATATCCCAAGCACCAACATCCACATCCACACCCGTATCCCAAACACCAACATCCACATCCACACCCGTATCCCAAACACCAACATCCACATCCACATCCACATCCACTCCTTCATCCACCATTCACATCATACACAGCACCAACATACAAAATTGACATTCAGATCTGTACCACAACAAACTGCAATAATTACTACAACACAAAACACTATCAGGAAGAATCTACAACAATGTTGCCATTCAAGCACCGAGAATATAGTACTATAACGAGTGTTACAGCACAGCACGATGGTAAATAATACAAAACAGTAGTACGCGCACTGAAAGGTCGAGTCAGTCGATCGTGGGAAAGATAGAAGGTCGACATCATAATGAATGAAGGCTTACAATAAGGTCAAACGCCTTACTAGGTGTGGCCGGAATCAGCTGTGTACGATCCAGTGATATTTACCCTACTAATTTGTTTAACATTTACACAGTGAACCAGAGACGACAGTGCTTATGCTAAGGAATCTGTTTATAAAATAGTTGAGAGAAAAACATACTGGTCATTATCTTTTTATAGAAAAAATCTTAGGAATAACTGTGAAGCATTCACATAGCTATGATGGATGGGTGATGGTGTAATAATGTAATAAGTTTTGTGCACGATTCAAACATTCAAGTTTAGTTACATCGTTTCTCTGTTTCGGCAGATAATAGTTTCATAACTGAACAGATTTAATTTACAAATCAACAAATGCTTATATTCACCATCCACGTATCCATCCATCCACCCAATACCCATCCATCTCTCCACTTCTAAATGCCCCAGTTAAACATCCACTCACCCATCCATCCATCCATCCATCCAATACCCATCCACCCATCCATCCACCCAATACCCATCCATCCATCCATCTCTCCACTTCTAAATGCCCCAGTTTAAGCATCCACTCACCAACTCACACCCATCCATACACCCACCCATCCATCTCTCCACTTCTAACTGCCCCAGTTAAAGCATCCACTCAACAACTCATCAGTCCGTATACTCGGCAACCGGGGAATCCAAGAATTGATAAATCCGTACAATCATCCATTAATCCATTCATCGGTCTATCCATCCATTTATCCTATTTTTTCAAATTCCAGGTTTTTAAAGTCATCTGACCGGACAAGTCACACAAGCCTTGCCTGGCGTAGCGCATGTTCAGTATAAGTACAGTTTATTCATTGAGTTACAAGTTCCGGTAGTGGGTCGATGGCATGTTACCGGATCACGGTGTACCAGAACGTCCCGATCATAAATTCCTGTATTCTCAGAAGTGACACGAATATCATTAGTTCGCAAGTTCCAAAGCCTTTTCGGTTAAATATTTGTCTGACAATCTATTGAGTGACTGTATGATAGATAGCTCTGGGTGGGAAACTGGCCTGTTATGACGTTCCCACAAAGTGACGTCATACTGAACACTATGACTTCATAATATTTGCACAGACCGATTGGTTTTGTCAAGACAGCGACTGGCCAATCAGATCTGTAAACGACTATGGGTGACGGTCAATACACAGTATAGGACAGGGCTTCTTACCCCTCCTCCGAGGACCTCTTCTTCCTTGAAGACCGACAAGTACACACACACACAACTACAACTAGGATAATGACGACGACACCGCCAGCGGTCCCTGCACCAATGAAAATCAGCGTGGTTGGCGACACCGTGTTCGGGACCTTCACTGTAACAAAGAGACATTGTTTACCAAACAGCCCCCAAATAACGCTATGGAAGCATGCTAACCTGTCCCTAAGAAGTCGCGTTTCAATTTCCTATTCTCCCGATTTGACTTCTATGATCAACTACCCCATGCAGTAGTACCTTGTTAAGATCGATCAATCCGAACTTCGAGACAAGCGGATCGTCTATATCAAAACAATGGGATGATATGGTATGGGACGACTTGCCCCATGTTACATTGCCTTGAACGATGTATATCGAGGATGGAAATCGAAATACAAGGTTCGGGAAAAATGTTTTTGTTTGCTTAAGAATTAAATGAAATAGTCTTGACCTCTTGCGTTACCCATAAGTTTCAGAGTATGGTGCAAGTTTATACATATTTGGATTACACTGACCTTCCTCGACACAGGCCGGCGCTGTCCCGCTCCACTTGCTGTTAGTCTGGCATACCAGTTGTGCGTCCCCGAACTTGAGTTCGTACCCTGCATCACACACAAATTCCGCCGTTGCCCCTTCCGTGTAGCCAGACACGGTCCGGTTGCCGTTGGCGATGGTATCCAGGTAACTGCACCTCACCACTGGAACAAAGGACATGGTCAATGACAGACCTGGAAACACGACCATGACGGATCTTGAGCATGTGGACAATTAATTCTGAGATTGTTGACAATATGGAACTGAATATCAAAGAAGCGGCGGCTTGATAATTGTCCTTCAACCCCCTATTGAATGGCCAAGAGATCATGGTTTATGGCCATGCGTGATGTCAACGAACGATGTTATATTTGTCGCTTCAAGGATTCTGGGGTAGAATTCGGGGATGCTGGTTCCCAATACTGTATGCTAATCGTACAATGAGACTAATAGGATCAGGCTGCCAGGCCCCATGATATCGTTGACATCGTTGATATCGTGGCCTCATATCCTGACGGCGTTGACCGTTGTTTACAATATCGATCACAGGATAGTCTGGTCTAGACAAGATTATTTACTAGCAGCCGTCATATAGCTGGAATATTGCTGAATGCGGCGTCAAACACCAACTAAAATAATATCAAATGACAAGCCAGAAAGCAATGACAGATAGAATAATTGGGAAAAAAGGAAATTCAATGTCAATTTACAAAGGTTTGGATGACGTCAGCGCGACGTCACGGCAAACAGGACTCTGTACCTGGTTTGATGCTATTCCTTCTCTCCTCGAATCTTTGACTAAACGCTTTCGTACTCATGGCAATCTCGGCGTCTCCAGTCACCTGATAGTCAAATCTACATTGTTCATTGCCACCACACACTTCCTCCGTTCCGTTACGCAAGTTCTCCTTGTCTATACTATCTATAAACACTGGCTTCAGCGTCTCGCCCGTGTCCTCTGGACGTAGTAACGGTGATAAAATATTTTCATCATCCAGAACAGACCCTGTGAAGAAAAAAACGTACACAACACATGAATGTGATGAATCCAAAACACTGATGAGCTCGCTGTATGGTTACAACTATATTGGAACTAAATAGTCTTAACAACCATTTTCTTAATAATCATTAAATAAAATATCATTGTGCAATTTCGTTACGATTCCACAATTTCGTATTCATTTCAAGAATTTCTTCCAAGGCTGTTTTTCAAGACTGTGATTGTGCCGTGGCTCGTCATTAACCTAATCATCTAAATCACACAAAAAGGAATTCGTAAATGTACTGAATTCCCCACAAATGGCAAAGTCACTCATATTTTAAGAATTCTGAGAAGGTTTCAGAATACATCGAGTAATTCAGTCAGTGGATATTGTTTTACGCCGCTTTCAGCAATATTTCAGCAACATTACGGCTTCTATTTCACCTGACACGGCCGCTGGCGTTGGGAATAGAACCTTAGTCTTCTCTTGGCCGAGGAGAGCTACATGGTTGGATCTCTGCCAGACATGCCACATTACAATGAAACACACCACACAAGGGACGGCGGGTAGTCGTTAAAGCGTTCGCTCGTCACGCCGAAGACCCATGTTCGATTCCCCACATGGGTATAATGTGTGGAGCTATTTCTGGTGTCCCCCCGCCGTGATATTCGTGGAATATTGCTAAAAGCGGCGCAAAACTAAACTCACTCACGCACCACACAATCTTACAACACAAACATGGCATCTACTTACACGTTATCCCGAAGTCGTAGTGGATCTGCCCCATTGTGGCATTAGGTGGCAGTACTGTTCCGTTGCGGCACACAAAATCATCATTCGCGTTACCGTTGAAGTTGCCTAGCAACCCTCGTAATCTTCCTGTTAAGACAAATGTGATTATATTGATTATAGCAAACACATTAATGAATATTCATGTCATGGAAACGCATAACTCGTACTGTATTTCCTGGTATTCAATTGTATCATAGGGTTAGAATTGTTGATTTTTTTAAGTAAATACTTAAATCTAGATATTTAGAAAACCGGCTTTTGGTTCAAAATGCTTTATTTGTTTTGCCCCGCTCACCGATTTTCCAGCTGTGGTTTTACACCGCTTTTAGCAATATTCCAGCAATATCACGTCGGAAGACACCAGAAATGGGCTTCACACAGTGTACCCATGTCGGGAATCGAACCCGGGTCTTTGGCGTGAAAAGCGGACAAGAGTTATTCATAGACAAGGACCCAGGTTCTCTGTGTCAGGTAAACTTTGGCCAAGTACTACATATATAACTTAAAACAAGGTGAGCAGCATGTTGGTTTCGTCCGGTAGTAGAAAATCCGTTTTTGACATCATCTTTCATGTCCAAATTGACCGGATTTTAACAGTTCATGTATCATATTTCCCTTGTCGGCGTGTTTTCATCACCATTGTCCCTTTTTGTGACCTGTAAGCCATTCGGTTTGTCCCGGAATGACACGAATCCTTACGATTACAAACCGGAATGACACGAATCCTTACGATTACAAGCTGTTTGAACTGAGTGTTGTCCACAGAGCTTAACATGGGGGTACAAAGAGTAATCTAAAAAAATCTGAAAACAAAATAATTCAAGGCGTAAATAACCAGTGATTGAATTATGACGGTTGTCTACCTTTGAGTTGCTGTGATCCAACCATCACCATGATGTTTAAGAGTTTGTCTGTCGCCTGCATCAGTACCGATACCCCGGCTGGGTTGACGACCACCGTCACCTCTGCCGTGATGTTGCTCGTGTTGTTGCGATACACTGTAAGTCCTGGAAAACGTATGTACACAAATGAAAGTCTCTTCTTACGTAATGAGCAAAGAGAAAAGTGAAGTTATAGTGCAATTCAAGACTTTAAGTTCAATAGAATCGCCACTGTTTCGTACATTTGGAATTTGACAAACCGGTTAAACAATCATTGTTTGGCAGGTTGGTTGGTTGGTTTATTGTTTAACGCTGCACTCAGCAATATTCCAGCTGTATGGCGGCGGTTTGTAAATAATCGAGTCTGGACCAGACAATACAGTGACCAACAGCAATCTACGCAATTGGGATACGATGACATGTGTGAACCAAGTCAGCGAGCCTGACCACCCGATCCCGTTAGTTGCCTTTTACGACAAGCATGGGTTACTGAAGACCAATGCTAAACCGGATCTTCACGGGTTTCTTACACAACATACAGATGACAAGCGGACTGGTAGTAAGGCGAGTGTTTCTTGAGTCAAGGAGTGAAATAAGTCTGGGTATAAGTCAGGCAAAACCAGGTCGGTGGTGTATGTCGCAAAAGAAACACTGCACTGCCTTGTGTGTGATGTAATCTGAGTGCGCATTGGTCAAAACAGTCTATTATAGTATGTTTTCCCTTCAGATGGAGCTAATCCGTCGCTTGATTCGTTGTTTAAAAATAGTTAGTCTGCAAAGGCCCGTATGTATCCATACGTGATACAGTAAAACACCCCTTGAACTCTACATCAGTATCTGTTACTGGTCGGGTTTGGAGTAGTGAGTTTGTGCACGGAGCGGGTTGTGGGCATAATTTACCATGACATGAGTGAAAATGATTGTTTGTGGTTTGGTAACTCTGAAACAACATGAAAAGGAACATGATTCGAACCCAGGATGCTGTTAACACATAGACAACTGCCATGCAGTATGATGATTATTCTATGGCACTCGTAAACTGACCGTTAAATTCTGAGGTAGATGAAGTGAGGTCACGTTCTATTCCATTGACCAGGAATTGGACAATGTCTTCTTCGTCGAGACGAACCTCCAATATGTCAGTGACGTTACGTATCGTCACTGCCGCTGTCGTGAACATCGTCGCGTTCTGCAGCTCGTCTAGAAATCGGAACGCAAGTTGGCATCGAAAAGGTTCCAGTAAATTGGTACATAAATGAAAATGTTTCCTTACAAAATAGGCCTTAGAGACTTCATGTTGAAAACAACCTCAGCAGTCTAAATATTCAGCATGATTTGGGAGTTTTGCCATTTGGGACCGAGCATATAATATTCTGACCTTTCATTTGAAACAATTATTTTTAACAACGCATTTTGGGGCATTTAAGCAACAGGGTTTTTTCAACCCGAAGGAAATATTTTTACATACTTTCTGGATGACATTTCAAATGATCAGACCCACAGGTTTCGTCTTCACGTTTTTCAGATTCATACAGACAAGTGGCTCACCATTAGTGTCCCTGGCTCGAGCTGTCCTGACTTGAACCACAACGCTGCTGTTGTCATCCTCTAACAACACAAACTCCCCCTCCCCGTTGAATGTATACCCCTTCCCGTCCAGCGTTACTAAATGGGGGTCCCCAGCTGCCTGGGCTGAAATGAGAAGATATATTATATTTGAAAAGGTCTAGTTTGTAATAGCATTAGTCTGTGTCCCTGAAATAATAATGATAATAATAGCAGCCGTTCTTATAAGTCTGAAGTATGCCCTCACTAACAGGTCCGTTACACGTGCGCCATGGTTGCTGACATAGCCAGGGCGCTACGGCTTATTTTCTCTTGGTAACGCAAAGCGGGCGCCAGGGTTTATATTCTCTCTGATAACGAAAAGCAAGATGCTAGTGTGTATTTTCTCTTGGTTAACGAAAAGCAGGGAGCTACAGCTTATTTTCTCTCGGATGACGAAAAGCAGGGCGCTACGGGCTTATTATCTCTGGGATATCGAAAAGCAGGGCCCTAAGCATAATTTTCTCTCGGATAACGAAAAGCAGGGCGCTTGGGTGTATTTTCTCCCGGTAAACGAAAAGCTGGGCGCTAAGGATTATTTTCTCTCGGATAACGAAAAACAGGGCGCTAGGGCGTATTTTCTCCCGGATAACATAAAGCAGGGCGCAGGGGCTTACTTTCTCTCGGATAATGGAAACATAATATTACACAACTTCTTAGTATCAGTGTCTATGTGTTTATCACAGAGTCAATTCTAATATAAAAAATCAACAACAAAAACTCGGAAATTCTTACCTGCTGACGGTGGTGAATACCCGGCACAGTTAACCGGTGGTCGATGGTAAGCTAGAAACTCCCGACAGTGCGTCTGTGAATATTGGCAACAGTGGGTGTATGGAAGCACATCTTGGTCAAAATACGAGAAAAAAGCAACGACGTCGTCGCTCTGAGATCTGTAATGATATCGCCCTACAGTGCCGCCGCCGTTCAGCCCCTGAGCATTCAACAACTCGCCATCTGCATCGTAACAACAAACTTGGCTGCCTTCTGAAGACCTGTGGAAGTGAAACATGTAAATTAGGTTCAGTGAGTGAGGGAGTTGGGTTTAACGCCACTTTGAAAACAGTCTAAGTAAACATAGACTCAGTATCATTCGTTACAGTGCTATACTGAGTCTAACAAAACCTTGTGGAAGGTCGCGTCAGGTAACCCTTTGAGCGACCTATGACCGTCCAATCAAAGGCGAGACGGCCGAACGGATTTAACCAATCAGACAACTGCTTACTATTTAGGGTTCGGCGGGACTTACAAAATGGATTTTCTCGTCCCCGGTCGCCAACACTGATCTCCCAACAAATGAAAATCCGCATAAAACACTGATATTTGACCTGCAGTATATACGCTTTGGGGTTCCCGTTGACATGGTTATAATTAGCTAATATTTCCGCAAGTTGACATGCTTTAATACTGACAAAACGTTATTTTTAGCGAATGTTTACTCACTGCTGTGGCCTGCATCACTAGGCACCGATCGTACGGAAAATAGCATTCGGAATCGTACGGGTACAAACTTTTTTCGAGGTAAAAGTTCAAAAGGTATGTGCGAATGTCCACTTTAGCGATTTAGTAAGCTGTGTTCTGATTGGTCAATTGGAAAGGTTAGCTGACGCGACCTTCCACAAGGTTTTGTTAGACTCAGTATAGCAGTGTAACGAATAATACTGAGCCTAAGTTTACTTAGACTGCTTTGAAAATATTCAAAAATATCACCACAGTTGTATAAATTGAAGGTATCGTAACCGACTCAGCCAATGACTTGACGAGACACATGAGATGTTTCCAAAACGCACTATAGAGGGAATGGGAAGCATCAGTTCGAACTACACAATCATCACCATCATCATCATGATTATCATTATTATTACGTACCCCTGATAATTTGACATGATACAATCCGTCGCCCCTCCTCTGTACAAACAACTACGTTCTATTGGGTCCTTCGAGTTCTGGTTGCAGAAGGGGTCAGGCTGGTACCTCCCTGTGTCCCCATCAGCCTGGTTCCTCGTGCACGGACAGGGCTCCCTCTGTGTCAGGTTCAGACCCCGCCCCTCCTTGTCCATCCAAGCCCGGCACCATCCGGCAGACACTGAAGGGCTTGGCCATCTTGCCGGGAACACGTCTGACCATATCGCCATTGCAGACCTGGGAAAAAACGTTTGGTTAACATACACAAGTTCCACATAGACGTAGGGACATTAAGCCTTACTTGCATCATACCTTGACGACAGCAAATACAAGAAATATCACGTATCCTTGACAAAATAACATCACGTGTTCAATTGTCTGAATGACGTCATTGTTACATGTACCTGTTTGTTTACAATAATAAGATTGGCACGAGCTGAAACATCAATGAAAAATTCAATAAACCGTTTTGCCCGGAGGACTTCCGGTAGGAAGGAATTTCCGGAATAGGAGGGTAAAGTATATTTGACCCATAACAAAATTATTTCTTGCACGATATTCAGTGTACATAGTGGTTTCTTGATCTGTATCAACTGCTCAATAAACAAGTAACTGAGCTATATATCCCTGTAACCTGTACACATCGATACATCCCTGCTCAGTGAGTGAAGAGTGACTTTATCCGACTGACACCTGCTGCTAAATGGGTTTTCAAATGCTGAGCAAAAGAATGCATTCACTGGAAAAACGTTTTTGATGATAAAAACTACAAACGTTATCAAAACGTAATTCGGCTGGAAACACTGCAATTATATCGTCCAAAACACAAAATGAACATGTCAGTTTCGTACAACCATGACACGTTCCAGTTGCAGCCACTATCTACCATGGGTGTACACTTCCTTTTGACCGGAACTGTATATTCGATGTATCGCGTTCCTGGCGATGGGCAACCTAGTGGTTAAAGCGTTCGCTCGTCACGCCGAAGACCCGGGTCCGATTCCTCATATGGGTATAATCTGGGAAGCCCATTTCTGGTGTCAGCGCCGTGATATTGCTGGAAGATTGCTTAAAGCGGCGTAAAACTAGACTCACTCAATCATCGCGTTCCTGCTTCGTCGTGTATTGGGTTTAGTAAGGATGTATCGGTATATTGTAGGCTGAAGAATTATCAGACCTTTACATCTCCCCTGAATATGCATCTTAAGATACACCAACCCTCCGACTACCGGGAGACTGCGGGTTCATGAGCTTCCACCTGTTCACAACAAAGTACTTGTTCTGGACCTCTCTCAGACGATTGCATTCACATAATTACACTTAATTGCTAGTTATCCCAGTTTTGACAGTGGTTATTCTGTTAGTCCTAGTCTTGACAGCGAAATTTCACATCTTAACGAATCGGTGAACAAGACGCTGTCAAAAATGGGACACTACCCTAAATGAGCAATCACACCGCTTCATTGCATATGTAACCAGTCATAAAGTCTCTAATCACTGATTAGTATTTAGCGCTAAGGAGATCTTAACTCTCATACCTTAACATAGACTTACGGCTGCCGTGGGGCTAAGGAGATCTTAACTCTCACACCTTAACATAGACTTACGGGTGGCGTGGGGCTAAGGAGATCTTAACTCTCATACCTTAACATAGACTTACGGCTTGCGTGGGGCTAAGGAGATTTTAACTGTCACACCTTAACATAGACTTACGGCTGGCGTGGGGCTAAGGTTGCTTTGTAGAACGGCACCCAGGACAGTTGGAGGAAAGCCAGAAGCAATGCAGGTCTTCCGCGGTAACCCTTTGGGTGACACCCACCGCCGTCTACCCCCAACTCTCTAACTTGCCCATGAGCCACACACCACTGTCTACCCCTAATACTCTCTAACCCGCCCATGAGTCACACATTACTGTCTACCCCCAACTCTCTAACCCGCCCATGAGCCACACACCACAGTCTACCCCTAATACTCTCTAACTTGCCCATGAGTGACACACCACCACTCTCTACCCCTCATACTCTCTAACTTGCCCATGAGTCACACATCACTGTCTACCCCTCATACTCTCTAACTTGCCCATGAGCCACACACCACTGTCTACCCCTACTACTCTCTAACTTGCCCATGGATCACACATCACTGTCTACCACTAAAACTCTCTAACCTGCCCATGAGTCACACATCACTGTCTACCCCTCATACTCTCTAACTTGCCCATGAGTCACACATCACTGTCTACCACTAAGCAAAACTCTCTAACCTGCCCATGAGTCACACATCACTGTCTACCTCTCATACTCTCTAACCCGCCCATGAGTCACACACCACCGTCTAACCCCTAATACTCTCTAACTTGCCAATGAGTCACCCACCACCACTGTCTACCCCTAATACTCTCTAACCTGCCCATGAGTCACACATCACTGTCTACCCCTAATACTCTCTAACTTGCCCATGAGTCACACATCACTGTCTACCCCTCATACTCTCTAACTTGCCCATGAGTCACACATCACTGTCTACCCCTAATACTCTCTAACTTGCCCATGAGTCACACATCACTGTCTACCCCCAACTCTCTAACCCGCCCATGAGCCACACACCACAGTCTACCCCTAATACTCTCTAACTTGCCCATGAGTCACACACCACCACTGTCTACCCCTCATACTCTCTAACTTGCCCATGAGTCACACATCACTGTCTACCCCCAACTCTCTAACCCGCCCATGAGCCACACACCACTCTCTACCCTTAATACTCTCTATCCCACCCATGAGCCACACACCACTGTCTACCCCTAATACTCTCTAACCCGCCAATGAGCCACACACCACTCTCTACCCTTAATACTCTCTAACCCGCCCATGAGCCACACATCACTGTCTACCCCTAATACTCTCTAACCCGCCCATGAGTCACACACCACTGTCTACCCCTAACTCTCTAACTTGCCCATGAGTCACACACCACTGTCTACCCCTCAACTCTCTCACCACTGCCCATCAAATTTGCCACACACCACTCTCTACCCTAATACTCTCTAACCATGAGCCCATGAGTCACACACCACAGTCTACCCCTCACTACTCTCTAACTCTCTAACCTGCCCATGAGTCACACACCACCGTCTACCCTAATACTCTCTAACTTGCCCATGAGTCACACACCACTGTCTACCCCCCTAATAACTCTCTAACCCAACTGCCCATGAGTCACACACCACTGTCTACTAACCTCCCATAACTCTCTAACTTGCCCATGAGTCACACACCACTCTCTACCCTTAATACTCTCTAACCCGCCCATGAGCCACACATCACTGTCTACCCCTAATACTCTCTAACCTGCCCATGAGTCACACACCACTGTCTACCCCTAACTCTCTAACTTGCCCATGAGTCACACACCACTGTCTACCCCTAATACGCGCTAACCCGCCCATGAGTCACACATCACTGTCTACCCCTAACTCTCAAATTTGCCCATGAGTCACACACCACCGTCTACCACTAATACTCACTAACGCGCCCATGAGTCACACACCACTGTCTACCCCTAACTCTCTAACCCGCCAATGAGCCACACATCACTGTCTACCCCTTATACTCTCTAACCCGCACATGAGTCACACACCACCATCTACCCCTAATACTCTCTAACCTGCCCATGAGTCACACACCACCGTCTACCCCTAATAATCTCCAACCCACCCATGAGTCACACACCACAGTCTAACCCTAATAATCTCTAACCAGAAAATGAGTCACACACCATAGTCTACCCCTAATACTCTCAAACTTGCCCATGAGTCACACACCACTGTCTACCCCTAATACTCTCTAACCCGCCAATGAGCCACACATCACTGTCTACCCCTAATACTCTCTAACCCGCACATGAGTCACACACCACCGTCTACCCGTCATACTCTTTAACCCGCCCATGAGTCACACACCACCGTCTACCCGTCATACTCTCTAACCCACCCATGAGCCACACACCACAGTCTACCCCTAATAATCTCTAACCAGAAAATGAGTCACTTACCCGTTATTCTCGTTATCTTGGCCGCTAACTTTCAATATGGCTGCCGTTGAGATATTTTGAAGCTTGAAGTGAAACAAGGACCTCGATGACTGGTTGACGTCGATATAATTCACTACCCTTCTCAGGGAGGGCGTCCCGTTGACTTTCTGCAACATACAGACACACGTGCATACATCGAACAACACGACTTTCAGATATACCGAACACCAGGGGAGACCTGCAAACAGTTCGACACTTCCGAAGTTTTTTGAGAATAATTTCGGAGGATTAGAAGTGAGTTCGTTACGTGCGACTTTCTCTTTATCTCACACTTCTCAACAAAACAAAACTTGCCAGTGTTTCATATTTGTATTCCATTCAGTCTATGTTTGAGATGTGCTTCCATAGCCGGTGCTACCAACATTGTGACCCTGTCATGAAAAACCGAACTGCAGAGCAAATACAACAATGTTTAATTGGCCATCGATAATAATAAAAGCACAATACTATTGAAAGAAGACCCGTGAAGATCCGGGTTAGAATTGATCTCGAGTAACTCATGCTTGTTTTACGAGGCGACTAACGGGATCGAGTGGTCAGGCTCGCTGTCAACATGTCATCGTATCCCAATTGAGCAGAACTCAGTCACTCACTCACTCACTATTGAAAGAGACGCATAGCCCATAGTCTTCAGCACATAGCGCTACCTTTAACTTTCCATCCTCGGCACTCCAGGGAAGTATATCTCCCTTCTATTATGAGATCACAGAATCGTCCACGAACCTTACCAGCAACTTCTCTGTTGCACTTATGTTTGTTCATTTGTTTCACCTAGTTATGATGTTAACTTGTTATGCCGATTGTCTGGCTGCGGTTGTACAAAACAACCTTAGCGCTAAGACTACCTTAAGTCTATGTTAAGGTATGGGAGTTACGGCACCCTGGTTCGTAGCCTTACACAGGTACAGAGTCTGAAGTTCATATCTGGTGGCCATCCCCCACCCTTCCCCCTGCTGTGATATTTCCCGAATATTGCTAAATGTGGTGTAAATCAATAGTCATAGATTCGTTAGAGGGTAGCAGTAGACGGCATTACCTTATATTCTAGAACCTAGCAGTAGACGGTATTACCTTATATTCTAGAACCTAGCAGTAGACGGTATTACCTTATATTCTAGAACCTAGCAGTAGACGGTATTACCTTATATTCTAGAACCTAGCAGTAGACGGTATTACCTTATATTCTAGAACCTAGCTTATAGTAGACGGTATTACCTTATATTCTAGAACCTAGCAGTAGACGGACGGTATTCCTAGCAGTTTATTCTATTCTAGAACCTAGCAGTAGACGGTTTTACCTTTTATTCTAGAACCTAGCAGTAGACGGTATTACCTTATATTCTAGAACCTAGCAGTAGACGGTATTACCTTATATTCTAGAACCTAGCAGTAGACGGTTTTACCTTATATTCTAGAACCTAGCAGTAGACGGTATTACCTTATATTCTAGAACCTAGCAGTAGACGGTATTCCCTTTTATTCTAGAACCTAGCAGTAGACGGTTTTACCTTTTATTCTAGAACCTAGCAGTAGACGGTTTTACCTTATATTCTAGAACCTAGCAGTAGACGGTATTACCTTATATTCTAGAACCTAGCAGTAGACGGTATTACCTTATATTCTAGAACCTAGCAGTAGACGGTATTACCTTATATTCTAGAACCTAGCAGTAGACGGTTTTACCTTATATTCTAGAACCTAGCAGTAGACGGTATTACCTTATATTCTAGAACCTAGCAGTAGACGGTATTACCTTATATTCTAGAACCTAGCAGTAGACGGTTTTAGTAGACCTAGCAGTTTTACCTTATATTCTAGAACCTAGCAGTAGACGGTATTACCTTATATTCTAGAACCTAGCAGTAGACGGTATTACCTTATATTCTAGAACCTAGCAGTAGACGGTATTACCTTATATTCTAGAACCTAGCAGTAGACGGTATTACCTTATATTCTAGAACCTAGCAGTAGACGGTATTACCTTATATTCTAGAACCTAGCAGTAGACGGTATTACCTTATATTCTAGAACCTAGCAGTAGACGGTATTACCTTATATTCTAGAACCTAGCAGTAGACGGTATTACCTTATATTCTAGAACCTAGCAGTAGACGGTATTACCTTATATTCTAGAACCTAGCAGTAGACGGTATTACCTTATATTCTAGAACCTAGCAGTAGACGGTATTACCTTATATTCTCTAGAACCTAGCAGTAGACGGTATTACCTTATATTCTAGAACCTAGCAGTAGACGGTATTACCTTATATTCTAGAACCTAGCAGTAGACGGTATTACCTTATATTCTAGAACCTAGCAGTAGACGGTTTTACCTTATATTCTAGAACCTAGCAGTAGACGGTATTACCTTATATTCTAGAACCTAGCAGTAGACGGTATTACCTTATATTCTAGAACCTAGCAGTAGACGGTATTACCTTATATTCTAGAACCTAGCAGTAGACGGTATTACCTTATATTCTAGAACCTAGCAGTAGACGGTATTACCTTATATTCTAGAACCTAGCAGTAGACGGTATTACCTTATATTCTAGAACCTAGCAGTAGACGGTATTACCTTATATTCTAGAACCTAGCAGTAGACGGTATTACCTTATATTCTAGAACCTAGCAGTAGACGGTATTACCTTATATTCTAGAACCTAGCAGTAGACGGTATTACCTTATATTCTAGAACCTAGCAGTAGACGGTATTACCTTATATTCTAGAACCTAGCAGTAGACGGTATTACCTTATATTCTAGAACCTAGCAGTAGACGGTATTACCTTATATTCTAGAACCTAGCAGTAGACGGTATTACCTTATATTCTAGAACCTAGCAGTAGACAGTATTACCTTATATTCTAGAACCTCCACAGTGATGTTGGTAATGTTACCGGACGGAAAACTGAAAGCATCCCAGGATATATTCACGGAACGATTCACGAACCACTTCATGGGGTCCAAGCGTTTAACTTTGGGTTGAACCTGAGCTATGTTCACTGTGGGAAGAGAAAGCAAAGTTATAAGTAAATACAACTACATGACTGATGTGAATCATTAATTGGTCTTCTTCATAAACATCAACACACAGATGCATGGAGAGTGCATTTAGTCTTCAACAGTTTATGTTGCTCCGCAAAACGGAAGCGTTTTTTCGTTGCCATGTTTGGCTTTGTTTCATTTCTGTTATTTTCAGTGTTATTTCAAGTAGTGTTTGATTTCTCACTTCCGGTACACAGATACTACTTCCGTTTCCACAACCTCAATCACATGTACCATTTTCTTTATAACCACCTCCAACACAGATATAACTTTATATCAAATAAACCGTGGAATAGACACTATTCTCTTAAGGAGATACTACTCTCCCTTCAACTACTTACTTGTAGTATATGTGCCTGTGTAGTTCCAACCACCATCATCTATATTCAGTGACAGGGAAAGAGGGCCTGTCCGAAAGACGGTTGGTGTGATGCACCGCGCGCGAGCTGATGAATAGTAACTGCATGGGAATGTGATGTTGACGTCATCAAAACGAGCCAATAGATCGTCACCTTCATGAAAACACGGACCAGACAGGAAGATCCTCTGACCTCCAAGGACATGACCTGAATTGGGCCAAACAAGCACTTTTCCGCTACCTACTAAAAACAAACGCATGTTGAAGGTGAAAAAATTTATCGATTTTGTTTTAAAATATAACATAAACTGACGTACACAATAAACTACACGCCTGGATTTCAAAATACTTCTTAAAATATTTACGTTGTTTTGGGGGAAGAAATTCCAGAGAACCAAGTGTGTTCTTCCTTTTCTACGTCAGTTTATTTCCACAGTATGTTATGGTGATCTGGAAGCAATCGTGTTTGGGCCAGACAAACCTGTGTCTGATATTCGTTGCTTGGGGATTATCAGTTAACCACATTACCCCTTGTTACTGCGCTACTTCAAGGAGAAATTTACTGATTGTAGACACTGGAATATATCCATATTTTAAACTGATTGAACTCTGAAACCAATCACATGCGTCAGCAGGTACCAAATGCTGGAAGGAATCTTACCTTTATCTGAACAGCTTCCTTGTATAGTAGCAGAGTCGACCCGGAATACCCATTTACCCGGGATGTCGACGTTGCTTGTCAGAGTGAGGTTTAGGACGGCATGTTTCCGCGCCCCCGGAATTTCCATATATGTCTTCCGGTCACCGGCGTTAAATCCAGCCTGTTAGGGGAAAATGGGGTCAGCATATCGCAAAATCCCGTCCTGACGAGATCTATCATTTCTACGGGGGTACACTGAGCAATGTATGTCCGGAATGCATATCCTTCTAAAATATCAGCATAAATTTGAAGGCTTCCTCAATAGGAACCATCAAATTCCGCATAATTACAAAAGAGAAACTGTTGTTTGTAAACTGTTTTTTCGACTTACATCAATGAAGACGGTAAAATTTGTCAAGAATATTTTTTTTCTAAATCGACCCAAGCACAAGCGTTCGACAACACTGGAACGGGTGAGTTTATTGAATTCATATTTGTTAAGCTATTAAAATCACAGTTCATTCCTTGCTAAATCAAATTCAATATCGAACTCGGTTGCTCCGTCAGTGGTACGAAAATTGGTAGTTCGGTTAGTTGATCGATTTAGCTTCTGCTGTCTACGACAACCGACAAGTGTACCCTCTGTCTTTCAGTCCACGGCAACCGCCAAGCTTTATACCAACCGATAAGCTACGTTTCATGTTTACGACAGCTGACAACCGTGTCCTACGTCTGCTTTTTCGACTACTAATAAGTGAGTTCTGTGGCTGAATCTTACGACAACCCGTAAGTATATCTGCTGTTTACGGCAACCGACAGGTGTTCCCTATTACGTCCTTTATAGCAACCGACAGCCCTGCCCACGTTTGATGTTTACGACAACCGACAACCGTGCCTTACGTTTGATGTTTACGACAACCGACAACCGTTCCCCTTACGTCTGATGTATTACGACAACCTACAAGCGTGTCCGTAAATATGCTACGTATCAGACATATCTTGCACAGCTAACAGGTATCTCAAGATATTGGCACTTAATCCATGACGTCAGCAGTACGTCGAACGCGTGACGATGAATAAGGTGTCAACAATCAACCTTGTTCTGTGCCAATGTGATTTGCTCCCAAATATACTCTCTACCACAAGTTCCACCAAGAAGAACCTCCCGGAGGCGGAAGTCAACATAATGAAAGGCATCTAGTGTTTGCGCCTACACCCCTGACCAGTGTCTCGTGTTTGTTCTAGTCCAGATCATATGTTCCAAACATTGCCCTTCAATCTGCGCAATAGCTACATCTGTAGAATTCACATTTAATGCTGGCGTCATAGATAAAACCGATAACATATGACGCAACGATGCCATAGATCGACGAAATCTTATGTCTATAATTTCAGACAATTATGAAATATCGTCTTACTCCGTGTGTATGTACATAAAAGAGGAATGTTTTCATGTTGAATGTGCCTTTTTTGCCCTCAGTTTTACAAACTAGGTAGTTCAGAAAAATGTTTTGTTTTGTTATTGTTGTTTATGTATCATGGTTTGTTTGACATTTTCGTTTTCGGTTTATTTCCTTCCTGGATGTGTCAGGGCGGAGGATGAGAGGGTGTGGTGGGAAACGCTTTCGTCATACGTCAACGAATTTCACTGTGAAACTTCGGGAGCATATTCAGCAAACAAACCATCACTGTAGAGAACAGGGCTGTGAGATTGGGCGTGTACACAGGTAGCTGAAGCATGTACAGGTGAATAGTGGGGAGTCGTACATGGGTAGGTCGTATATACTAGTACATGAAGTACTACATCACAGCACTATACTATCTACTTCAACCCGACGCAGCAGATTGAACCAAAGACACAAACACGATCAACCACCTTTTTAGCAAAAGTCTTTCTAACAGACCCTGATACAATTATACGAAAACTACAGGCCTACTATACTTAAGCAAATTCTTAATTATAGAATTACAAATTCTTCTGAAAATGGAACTATTTTCATGTCTCCTTTCTTGTAGCCATTACTGGGAAGCCTTCAGCCAAAACATTCACATCATATTAGTCCGGTTGGAACAATAGCTACATGTATACTTCAAGCACTATTCCAAGACATGGTATGGGCTAACTTCTGGGCAACATATATGCATATACTCATGTTTCACCATGACAACACAACAAACAAACAAGAAATGGCCAGTGGATGGCGATGTATTTCATAAGGTTAACATGGTTCTGTTTAGGTCGTGAGGTTTGCAGCATTTCGAGTTTTTCAGCCTAGTAAGCGAGTATGGTTGTAGACCGCTCTCTGAGTATTGTTGTAGACCGCTCTCAGTAATATTCCAGCAACATTACGACGGGGGTCACCCGAAATGGGCTTCGTACCCATGTGGGGAATCGAACCGGGGTCTTTGGCGTGACGGGCGACCGCTCTACCCCACCGCCCCTTCAGCCTAGTAAGGTTTGTAGTTGTCTTTGCATTATTCTTTACCAAATCCGACTTTCAAGGAGTATACTTGCATTTGCCCGGAAGTTTGTCATACAAATGTTGAGAATCGAACCCGGATTTAGGCATAGTGAGCGGACTCTTGTAGCTGTTTTTGGAAAATGTTTTGCAAAAAGTAAACTGATTGATAAGCGGCTCTGTCTTTGGTTGAAACATTTCATAAACATAAGACGTAATCCATAATTTGATGTTAGTACCGTTAATCAAATAAAACGATTAAGGTAACAGTGACAGTTCAAAACTAGAATAGGTTACACGACAATAATTAATATAATTAGTAAGAAAATAAATAAGAAGACATATGGAAAATAATGCTTCTGATTTAACTGGCAATTCTTGTAGGCTTCTTGAATCATACACACACTCCATGTGATCGAAACACTTCCGTTAAAGATCTTACACGATCTGTTTACATATTTAACGGTATATATCGTAGAAAGAACGTACTTTGTATAAATTAAAATTTAACATTTTTCATGCCATTTTGACATGAAGAATAGAAAATCAACCACAATGCAACAGAAATTTCAAAATCGACTGAAATCGGAGCATGCTGGGTAATATGTTCCACTTCCGGTCAGAACGTTTCCGGGAGTGGCGCGCTCGACTACAGGAAGCAACTACTAGAATATGACCGTAATGACATGACACCTCCTGCACGCATTCGTCTGCGCATGACGGGAACTAGTATCTAACACATTCTGCTCTGTCCAGACCGACCCCGTGGAAACATGACCTTTCACCTTTGACACATAATGGTTGACTCTTGTTATATGTCTGATACATTTGTTGCCTTACATCATTTTTCACTGTGATCTTATAATTCATTATTGCCCCCCAAATCGCTTTATGTTTGTTTGTTGGTATTAAACGCCACAGTAAGCAATAATGCAGCTAACTGATGGCGATCTGCATATAGCCTAGTCTGAACCAGACAACCCAGTGATTGACATTCTGAGCGTCAATCAGTCGGGAACCGATGACATGCTTCACTCACGTCAACGAACCTGACCCTCAGATCCCATAAGTGGCCTCATACGACACTTCTCCAAAACAGACAGGTGTATTTTTCAGAAGCTGCTAAATTCAAAACTTTGTCAATGCTAAAATATACTAGTAAACTCCATGCTACGTATTGTCAAGATTTTCCAGATTACGTAGGTCTGATACTGGTACACTAACATTAGGAAGGCGTTCATCTATATCCCATCTGACCTCTGACCTACATCAGGCAAGGACAGAGCATGCTGTCCATGCAGGGATGAAAGAACGGGTAAGGTCATGGAAGGTCAAATCAAAACAAGGTCAAGGTTCTTTACAAAGTTCAAGGTTATATCCTACATTCACTACCTAATTTAGTTCGCCTTGATGTGAAAGTATCTAGGAAATGCTTGTCTAGTATGCTAGTGTTATAAGAAAGATTATTTGGCATGTTTACAGATTTGACACAATTGCGTAATATATATCAGTAGGCCTAAAGGTAATTACTGATATCTATAACGTACGGTTGAGACTTTCATTACATTTTATCTACTTTCATGACAAACCTAACCTACTGTGCCATGTCGCACATTGCTCATGTGAATGGAAGAACTGTGCTAAGTGTGACTGATAAGAAAGCATGTTGTATCTGTACAGCTACCATACGATGTCGTGGATTATACCCGATATTTAGGCAACATTTGAAGTTAATGTAGTTGACTTACCCCGCCCACTTTTAGCAAACTTTTCAGCAATATAATTCATCGACCGGTATACATGGGAATTAAGAGCTTAATCTGCTAAAGGTTCGGGGTGATTGGTACAACGAGTGAAAAAAAGGAATATTATCTTTTAAGGTATTGATATAAAATTAAGATTATTTTAGGCGTTGATAAATTCAAATTTTAAAGGAACAAGGTTACTTTCTGCTAAATGTTAGAGTGACAGATATGGCTGTGATAATGTCGATTAAGTTGAGTTACTCAACTCAAAGTTGCCCAACCTGTAACATGGATTCTGTTGGCGTATCGTCTTCATTCTCCTACTACTTTCAAATGGTGACTTATGTGTCGATTGTGTTATTTTCAAGTACTTAAAACATTAATTTTCCTCATTTCGTCGCTATATGGCGGAAATACTGATTACAAGACTGCCAACATCGGTTCAATTACTTAGTCACGACAAACTGGGTAAGTGAAGTGATGGTGTATTGTATTAAACAAAGGCATCAAGTTCCCGAATTATACTTATTTACTTATTCACTTAGAGAAAAAAGTATCTCATCATAACCTTGACCTTGCTAGCTGTCCGTGACCTACATCACGTGACGGACAGAGCAGATGTACAGAGAGAGAACTAGTGCAGCACGCATGCTAATCTTGAGTACAAATGGATGGAGGAGGAGTTGTGTAGTCAAAGCAGTGACAGCGTGTATGACGTCACAGATGACGTCATTATGCAAATGAACCATCTAAACTTCAAAACCAAATTTCAAACAACTACCTCATCATAACTTCACCGCTCAAACAATGTCACTTTGCACGTCTGCTGGAGCTGATGACGTTATGATGACGTAATAATGACGTCACTGTGATGCACAGCCACTACTATGACATCTATTAGATGCAGAAGCGTAATTTACCACCGTATGTCTTCTACCTTCCATACCTGGGCAGGACTCCCTCCGAGACCCGTCGTGGTCACCCCGCCGCTGTTGGAGCCGGTCGTCCACTCGATCTTATTGTAGTTGAAGATGACGAAAGATTGCAGGACGTCAGTGATCAGCACTGCTTGGAATGTGTTTCTCTGGAACAGCCACCATTGAACATGAAAGTTCAGTCCGAGAGAACAACGTGGGTTAATCATGCGCAGAAACATATTCTTTGGGTGTAAGTCAAAATAGAGGCGAATGAATAATAAATGAATGGCCACTGTAATGTTTTGAAACAACTCATGAAGAACCCGGGTTATTAATATATTTGAGATGTTTTTCTCTGAATGTATTGTTTTTAACAAATTATGTTTTTCGTAACAGCGTGGAACAAACCCCCACTTGCTTTATAGAATAACAACTGTAATGTTTTGGGAATACACGTAACAGCATGGGAAGAACCCGGGTTAGAATTGCGTCTTTAGCGTAACAGCGTGGGCATGATTGTTGTAAGAAGTGACTGACTGGATCAGACTTGGTTTATACACGCAACAGCGTGGGACCAACCCCCGACTTGGTTTATACACTTGGTTTATATACACGTAACAGCGTGGGACCAACCCCCACTTGGTTTATACACGTAACAGCGTGGGACCAACCCCCACTTGGTTTATACACGTAACAGCGTGGGACCAACCCCACTTGGTTTATACACGTAACAGCGTGGGACCAACCCCCACTTGGTTTATACACGTAACAGCGTGGGACCAACCCCACTTGGTTTATACACGTAACAGCGTGGGACCAACCCCCACTTGGTTTTTTATACGTAACAGCGTGGGACAGCGTAACAGCGTGGGACCAACCCCCCACTTTGGTTTAACTTGGTTTATACACGTAACAGCGTAACCCCAGCGTTTATGGGACCGTGGGACCAACCCCCACTTGGTTTTATACACGTAACAGCGTGGGACCAACCCCCACTTGGTTTATACACGTAACAGCGTGGGACCAACCCCACTTGACCAACCCCACTTTTTTATACTTGGTTTACGCAACAGCGTGGGGACCAACCCCAACTTGGTTTATACACGTAGCAGCACGTAACAGCGTGGGACCAACCCCACTTGGTTTATACACGTAACAGCGTGGGACCTTGGTTTATACACGTAACAGCGTGGGGACCAACCCCACTTGGTTTATACACGTTTATACCCCCACTTGGTAACAGCGTGGGAACGTTTATAACAGCGTGGGACCAACCACGTAACAGCGTGGGACCAACCCCCACTTGGTTTATACACGTAACAGCGTGGGACCAACCCCCACTTGGTTTATACACGTAACAGCGTGGGACCAACCCCCACTTGGTTTATACACGTAACAGCGTGGGACCAACCCCACTTGGTTTATACACGTAACAGCGTGGGACCAATTACAGCGTCGGACCAACCCCCACTTGGTTTATACACGTAACAGCGTGGGACCAAATACATACGTTTAACATCAGTGACCAAAAATATACTGCCTCGTACAAACATGTTTGACGATAATCTGCAACCAATACCGGTAACTATCTGAAATGCAATATTCGTTGAAGACACTTACTTTTTGCCTGCCTTCTTGAGAAGCACCGTAAAAGCCAACATTGTCCCAGGTTGCGATAAACATCCAATGAGCACGGAACCTTCTCAGACCAGGGAAGTATGTCTTTATTTCAGTCGTAGCTTTATGAAGAAGTCGGAAATCAGTAGACTCACGATACCACACTTTACCACCAACTTGCACATCCACGTCAGCCCAGAAGGGAGCAATAATTGGCGTCTCGGAATCCAAGGGGAAATCTTCAGGTCTATACGTTTTAAGCTGGTCCAGAAATGATATTATTCCATTGTTATTTACCTGAAAATACAAACAATCCCACATTGAACTGGCTTGAAGACTTCAGATCAGATCAATGTTGCATATACGATTGTAACTCTACTGATGCAACTTCTGTAACTAACGTTCTATGGCCTTCAGGCCATCCTTCAAATGCATTAGTCAATATCACCAGAACCTTTGTGATACAGGTTTAGTAAGGGTTAAGGCATCTGCTGCATCTGGGTCCCAGTTGTGTAGATTGATGCTCATGCTGTTGATCACTGGATTGTCCAGGCTCGATTATTTACACACCGCTGTCATATAGCTGGAATATTGCTGAGTGCGGCGTAAAACTAAACTCACTCACCCTGCATCTGAAGAAATCTGACCTTCTTGTTCAACTCAGTTACAAGCATACAGAACGTGTGTTATACGTGGTTTAGTTGAATGTAAATGAACATCTGTGGAGTCTTCGAGACTTGTTCCTGTGGAACAGATAGGTGCTTCAACAGATAGGTGCTTCAACAGATAGGTGCTTCAACGTAACCACAACGTCAGATAACCGGTTCTTTTTGTGAGTTTTAAAGCACCTTCGGCGAATGATGTGACACTGAGGTATCATTTGAAATATGTCGATCAATCTAACTGAGCATTAACACCTTCAAGAATGACTATATCAATCCTTTCCGTTTAAATGTGATTTACACAAAGTTTTGCGTTGGTTCTTTAGTGTAACACCGTCTGCTTTGAAGGTTCCCATTTCAGTGAAAGATACCAGGAATGTAGAACAGGCAGGAATGATATTGTAGCATGCTATGTTTGAAACCACCAGCCCTGTATGTGAGAAGTTCTCTCGCCATATGGTACATATCGCTGTTAAGAGGTAGGTTTCAGTTAAGACAAATATTTCTTCAACACTTTATCTACAGAGCCTTGCTAGCCAAGAGGAGTGTAGCATTACAAAACACACAGGTAAAAAACACTGTAGATGAATGACGCTACACACCTGTGGTGGAGTATTGGGATGCTGCGCCCATAGCTCATTGTACAGGGGGAACAGTGTTTTGGTTTACTGAGATACTGGGTGTCTATCCAGCCACGTCCATGGTTCCAGTGTGTTGAACTATTGTGGGTACACACCGTACAAACAACGCCAGTGTTCGTTGGTTAAGCCAGGAAGCAGAACCTCCCTGACACTGGCCTCATGATGTATTAAAGTATGAATGTTGTTACAAGTTTGGGACATTTACAGTTCGTGAGTATTTGTTGAAAGTTAACATCGTTGTTTGAATGACTTGTCCTTTAATGACGCCATTTTCATTTCATTTTTTCGAAGTTTGCACAAGAAGTGATTAGAATCAACAAAGCCACACTCGGTATGCCAGTGGACATTATGTTTTGATGCTGTGGACAGTGGTCGGGGCGTTGTCGGTGGTGCTTTGGGTGTTCTGGATGGTACTTTTGGTGTTTTGGATATGTCGATGATGTTGGTGATGGTAGTGATAGTGCTGTTCACGCAGCCGATATGATGATGTGGCCTGTGCTGCTGACAAGATAAATGTCGACCCATTATCAATTAACGGTAGGAAAAACAATTAAATGATTCACATGCTGCACATCCGTGGTATTCCATTTACCATCTTCACAGACACGCTGATAAATACGTACATATCTGAATGTACAATATCGTATGTACAAACCCTCTCAGAATAGGTTATATCAAAGTTTATATCATGGGACAAAAGCTCCATTAAATACGTACATATCTGAATGTACAATATCGTATGTACAAACCCTCTCAGAATAGGTTATATCAAAGTTTATACCATGGGACAAAAGCTCCATATTTCATGCATCATTATTCCTATTTACGACTGCGGCTGATGGGGCAATGTCACATCGATGTGTTAACGGCGCATGCTCAGCGTCAAAACTTGGTGCACATGCACTCAAGACAAATGTAAGGCATGCTGACGTAGAGGATATAGTTCAAGAATATCAAGTTCACATCCGTTATTGCCAGCTATACTCTTTACATTTACTTCGTTGTTTTCTCACAGCAAATGGATTCATTTTTTGTCATACATCGAGTTGCTTGGTTTTTATTGTGGTGTTTTTTTTTTCAGTTCTCCGGTTTCCGATAAGCATTTGTTTTAGCCATTAAATATGCAGGATCACACACAAATCGGTTATCTTATCTGTTACTGTGTTCACCAAGGTGCTCTCTGGCAACGGGCTAAGCTGGCTTGAATCTCTGGGACCCTCTTTTAGTTATAACAGTAATGTGTCCGAAAATGTTCGTTCCACTTGGGATGAGATTTAGATTCGAACCCAGGAATGAGTGAGCATGCTCTTACGCCGTTTTTAGCAACATTCCAGCAATATTCCAGCAATATCACGGTGGTGTGCACCAGAAATTGGCTTCACACATTGTACCCATGTAGAGAATCGAACCCGATCCTTGAGCGTGACGAGCGAATGTTTTAACCACGACCTGATTACTTATTGGTACTCCTTACACAGCTGCAATGTGGATGCCTGCGGCGTTACACAACATCCAGTCACCCGGTAGTCTTGCAAAATGAGGGCGTGGCATTCGAGGTCAAACCACATGATGAACATCACGTCGTTTCCATGGTAGCTGGCAGACGTTAACACACTTCTCTTCGAGAAAAATATCATCGGTTCCGCGTTGAATAAAAAATATGCCTTTTCAAACTTAATTCCTCAATCTAAACTTTATCCCTTAGTTCGCATGACGAACGGGAAATTCGGCATCCCTCAATTACGGTTTCAAGATTTCAGGAAAAAATCGTATTAAGATTTCAAACTTTGGTAAATAAAGTACTGATTGTTTGAGAGTTGGGGCCCTGCTACCAGGCCCCGAGTGTTATTTATACTAGCTGTATAATACGCCGAGATGAAAACACATTTAATCACAGCCACACGTATGGTTGCCTAATGTCAGCTACCGCACACTCGCAACGCATTGTTGCACGTTCATCGCACGTGGTCTGCACGTGCGCAACAGATCTGACACCGCTCACAACGTAAGGGTCGACATTTTGGACGTACATTCCAACATAACCATGACCTGTGTTACACTGTTCCCGCCATGTAAGCGATTCCAAATGCGTACAGATCTACGTTCGAAGGGAGGTAACTGCTAACAAGCGAAGAACCAAGATGGCGGCTTGGGCGGGGATGTCCTATGCAATCAGTATTTATCATCGTAGACAGTTCTTCACACATGCCACGGAACGAAAAGATCTGTGATGTATTTTTAGGTTTTTGTGTTTATCCCGTTATGCATACGAGTAATTCCGTCCCGTGTAGGTTTAGTTTATTCTGGCACAAGTACCAAGTACAAGTGGGAAGAAGAAGGAACAATATCAGTAGAGGTACAGGTGATTGTGACGCGGGTTGACATAGCAATGGCCGATCCAGGAGGGTGGAGGGTTAGGGGCGTACATCCTTCCACCCTCCACCCGCCATGTCCTTTGGCTGACTTTGCTATAGACATTAGTGTGCATCCTTTTGGAGTATCTTGGATCCGACTCGGGTTGTGTCTAACAGGCCTATGATCCGGGGTCAGATGGGATTAAAGGGGACATTAATGGACGTTAACTCATATGAGGACAAGACGTTACGGAGGATGTTCTTACTCCTGCATCAGATGAATGAGCGTTGCAGGTACCTGACTGAAAGGAGAACTGTGAACCACTTCTGAACGCTCTTCAAACAGTTGGACGGGATTGTTGCTAAAATGTTCAGATTGTTAAATCAATAGGAATAAGAGATAAAATTTAACTTTACAGCCGGTACCGTTTACTGTGATAATATAATATTGAGTCACTATATCAACTCCCTTGTCTCGTCTGTCATGAATGACAAGCGGGTTCGCTCAACCAACATTTCATTAAATCATTCACACCGTGTCACGACAACCAGAAATCGTGATATTGCTGAGACAGGAACAAAGAACGATTTTCCGTTGTGTGAAAACCTCGTTTATCCGGATAACTGTGTCTGCATAAACGAAACACGTAGTAAGAAGTAAATGTTTGAAACCGGAAACGTCCTGAACAGGAACTGTCCCGGCAAAGCCAGATGAGCACTGGACTGACGTGCAAGGTGTAAATGCACTTAAAGTCATATACGAAAACAGTAACTGAATATATACTTGTAAACTCTTAGATATTCGTTCAAAATTGTTCTATCATTTCCCTAATTGAAAATATGAAAGATTTCCACAATCCGCGACGAAGGGAATAAAATCGTCAATATAATCCACAGGTTTAGTGAATATACTTTTAACAAGCCGGTAACATCGATAAACACGTACAGATTATCATGACTGTACTCGGACTTATAAAATAGTTGAAATAAATATCACAGAAAACTGCAGCATGAAAAATTACATTGAGAAAGATGACGCCTTCATTCAAAAAGGTAAAACAGTGTCTTCTACGAAGGGAGATAATTCTGTCAGTCGTATCGACGTTTCGCCCATTTCGACAAATATGCAACCGAGTTGCATAAAACAGCTATTATCAAACACCAGCATGTAATACTGTAACAGTTGACATGACTTTTGTAATACAACTTGTTATGTAAACAAGGCCCTCCCTTTTCCCTAATGCAGAGTTTACCATCATACAACATGTCTGAATGTAAATGAATAGCTCCAACCAGAATGATGCGGCCTACAAATACAACTTTTATTCATACATGTATATTGAGACACCGGGTCAGCCAGTTTCCTGTTTATACAATAGGTATTGACATTTAGGAACATAAGCCCTTCCCCTGTAATATTAACAAAACCCTACTCCTTTGATGCGCGCACCTGCTGCGGACCCGCGTTAATTGAATTTTACCTGGTTTTCTGAATGTATTTTCTTAAGCTTAGAAGCTGGGGAAACTAACATGGGACGTTGTATGTATCGAAAGTAAAACCTATTTAAAGCGTACTGTGCGTGTCCGAAACCAAGCTACAGCGGACTGTGGGTGAAAACACCAAAGGCATTATTTAAGTA